TTTTTTTAAATTTTACTCCTCTTCACTTTCTCTTTTTTTTTTTATTATTACCCATATTATTAGTAAATTCGATTTTAAACTGTCCATAATAATGCATAAATTATCGCTTGTTCTTTCTAAATGTATGATTTTGAATGACAGAAAAATAAACTTAAGAGAGAGAACCCATTAAGATTCTTACATTTGACTAGGCAGTAGATTAAATAAGATTATAAAAATTACGCCTTGTACAATGAATATCTGTTTTTTTTAAATTTGACTTCTTTTTTTTTTTGCTTATAAAATGCTAAGCAAACTTTTTTAATACTTCATTTCTTTAATTATTTTATTGATGTCACGGGGGAGGGGTAATCTCATGCTATTTTTAGTCATTTAAAGAAATTAATATAACTGAAACAAAGACTTTTTAAATCCTAAAAACTGCCTGGGCACATTTAACATCCAAATTCTTGAGCTTTTTTTTGATTGTGAAAAGATAAGAAATTCTAAAGAAAATTTCAAGAAATAACATTATGAATAAAAAATAAACAATTAGTAATAGCTTAGGCTTTTAAATGACTGTTTGCAAAACAATAAAAACTATTAGGAAAGATGCGAGGTTATATGAAGATGAATAACCATTAATGAATTTATATTTGTACATGTGAAAATAGTTAAAATAATATTTTTTTGACTGTCACCAATTAGAAGATCTGGTAGAAGGACTGAAAATTGGAAATTGGAAAATATACATATAATGCCTATTCATCCAATAAAAAAATTGTTTTTATTGTCATTTTCCCGTTAACCTAAAGGTTGACTTTTTTTAACCAAAGTAGAGAGAAAATATTAATAAAAGTGTTTTTTTTTTGAAGATAAAGGAAATTCTCATTGTAAAATACAAATAAATAGTAAAAATACTGATGATTGCCTAAACAATGAAGATAAGGAATAGCTAAACAATTAAAAGAAATACAATATTAAATTTTTAATGTGAATACAATAAATCTGGCCTCCTTTACATTACTTTGTCTTGACTTGAAATTCTTTTTTGAATATCTAAATATTTATATTCCCTTTATTTTTTTTACTTTGTATAACTTCTTAATGGCCGATAAGCATTTTTAAGCTATTTGCGAAAATCAATTCCGATTATATTTCTGTCCTTAATCTTAATAATCAAAAAGTTTTTTTTTAAATTATCCATGAAACTAATTGAAATAATAGGCGTGTAAAACTTATATTATGTATTACTTAGGAGCTTTTCTATTTTATTTTTCTTAATACATAATCCTCATAATGGCCTAAGCCTAAATTGGATGCCAAGGATTTACTTTCTATAATTATTCTTATTATTATACTTTTTTTTAATATGCCCATTATTATTCGACTATTTTAATCCTTCGATTATTTTAATCTATTGAAGGATATAAACTACGAAATAGTTAAATTAATAAATACTTTAATAAAGTTACATTTTATTTTAAAGTACAGTGCTTAAATTGTAATTCTAGAGAGAAAAGAAAAAAAAATATTCAAAACAAAATTATTTAGTATGCCAAAAACTAAGGACCCTTTATCTGAAAATGTTAAATAGAATTATTTGAACAAAAATTAACTAAAATTTTATAAAGTATCTAAACTCCATTCTCAATTCACATAATTTTTAAGAAAAAAGAAAAATCTATAAGTTAAAATACTTAATTTGCCTAGGCAGTAAATAAGTTTGAGTAAAAACATACACTTTACAGAGAACAATTACTGAAATTTCCTAGACACTTGATCAGACAACTCCAGAGATAATAACTCCAGAGATAATAGTAAATTTGTCAAAGAGCAGATTAAAAAAAATCAAAATGTATTATCTCAGTTTTACTTGAAAACTAGTCTTATAACTTCTCATATAAAGTGATAAATGTTGACGATATTCTTTAGTAGATCAGTTAATACTATGTTAATGATAGTTAGAGAAAATATACAAAAGGTTAGGTCAATTAACAAAGTTTTTTTTTAAATAAAAAGCACAGTTTTAATCTCTGAGTCTGTAATTGAAATTCATAAGTAATTAATTTTTAATTACATAATGTTTTGAAAATACTGTTTACTCTACTAAAAATTAAATAAACAGTAAAAAATGATGAATAAAAAGAGAAAAACTATAAAAACCATTAAATAGCCTAGGCATAGGTAAAATAAAAATAGACATTCCCTTTAAATAATACATAAATATCTATAAATTTTTTTTTACGTTAAAAAAAACTAGAAATTTCTCACAAATTATACGTACGAAAGAAACGTACGAAATATTTTTCCTACGTACGAAAAAAAATATTTTTCTAAAAAAATATTTTTCCTTTATATACCCTTTTCTCATTTATTTTTTTTGGATTTCAAAAATTTCTTATTATGCTTAGAACTTAGACTTCCCTATATTTTCGGTATTTAATCATCCAATTTCAGATTGGAACAGTTAATAATAGGGATCTTCCGGAAAAGCGAAAAAAATCTTCTAATATCGAAAATCGAAATTTCGTCACACCAATTTTTAAATGTAACACTTTATGTATTAGCTAAAAATTCTAGTTTTATTTTTTGTCAATCATGAATGAAATTTTCAATTAAAAATTCCCCAAGAATATGAAGAAATACTCAGAAATAGCCTAGGCCGTAAATGAATGTCGCAATAAGATACTAATAAATGCTTATAGAAGGAAAAAATTATTTGAAGATGAGTCACAATGAATAACATTCTTTTTGTAAAGTTCAAAGTAAAACAATAATGTCAGGAAATTATAGCTTCCGATTAGATTTTTTTAATAAGGGTATAATTTTTTCGCAAGAAAACATGAAAAAATTAAAATGTTAAAAAAAAATGAACTTTGTTCTAAGTGATTTTTCTTTTATTAATAAAAAAAAAATATTTTTATTTTTAAAAGTTTCTCAGATAAAAACTCCTAAAGTATTCTAGAAATTGAGAGAAAAAAAAATTACAATGCCTAGGCAAATAAATATGTTAAATTTTCCTAATAATATAAATGACTTTTTTTTAAAACAATAATCGAAAAATGATAGATTGTTTTTTAGAACTAAAGAATTTCAGAGTAAAGATACAGATGTGCCTAGACAAAAATAATGAATTTCTTGAAAATAAAATAAAAATAATATATTAAAAAAAATATTAGTTTCCTTCTTATCCCTAAGGATTTAGATTTTATTTTACATAAACCGTTTAATATTGATCAATTTATTTTTCTTTTCAGTATCTATTTTTTTGCGCTTTATTTTTTTTGCCGAGTTTCACAATAAAATATAATAATAAATATAAGACTACAACTTAAACATTTCACATTTCTTAATTTCCAACTCTAATACACTTTAGGGTACTAAAAATACGTATTTCAATGTTTATATACTTGAATCACTCTTTCTTATGAACTTATTATTCTTTTAAGGGCCTATAAAATATTTACGAAAACCGTTTAGTTCCCTAAGGAGATTGGACCTAATTTATTTTTGCATTTTACTTATCTGCTATTCCGGGAGAAACAAAAAAAATTAATTAGATCAAAAAGTTAAATCGTCTTAAAATCTCAATAGAAAATATATAACTCATATTCTTAATTGGGGCCTTTTTTTTTTATTTATATCTAAAAATTTTTCTATTTTTCTGGATATTTTTATGAGGGCTTTACTTATACTCATTAAATGGCCTAAGCCTATATTGAACGCCCGGGTCTTACATCATGAAATATACAACCTTCCAAAATTCATAATTATTTTTATTAGGGCTTTAATTTTAAAGGGCTTTTTTTTCTTATTTATTATAATGGCCTAAGCCTTGATTGAACGCCCAGGTCTTACATCATGAAATATTCTTATTAATTTATTTTAATTTGCCCATTATCTGCTGCCCCGGGGTCTTATGCTATATTTATTTCTTTATTCTCTTTATAATTTTGCCCTAAAATATTTTCTAGCCCTTCTGCCATGCATGGTCTTTTTTAATTGCCGAAGCATTTTTTTTAGCGCGCGAGTTCCCATGTTCCCATTTTTTTTTAACTTTTAAACTTGCTCTGCCATTTTCTTGTTCAATTCTTTTTTTGCCAAATCATCCATTCCATGTGCCATATCCATTTTCTGCCCAAGAGCATATTCCATTTTCATAGTATGTTGTTTTTCCATTTTTTGTTGTTCATATTCTTTTCCATTCCATTTTCTGCCCAAGAGCATATTCCATTTTCATAGTATGTTGTTTTTCCATTTTTTGTTGTTCATATTCTTTTCCAATCCATTTTCTGCCCAAGAGCCTCAGGAACGCCAAAGCATCACTTCGGCATCCGGTGCTACCAGTTGAGTGGAATCATGCCGGGTCCATTCTGTCAAATATACCTAGGCACAGTTAAACCATTATAATCCCTAAGGATAGCTTGTGGGTTGGCCAGACCCAAGCTTAACCTTTACCACTGAGCCACACCGGTGTGCTCTTCCTTATAGGCACATATATACACAAAGACTGACTAACTGGGAACTGATTTATCGGTGAAGCAATAAACAATATATAAACATAAGCATGTGAATGGGAGGTGACACAGGAAATAAAGATAAATAATAATTATAGTGTAATGGTTGGGAAAATCCATCAACACATAATGCTCGCCCAAAAGATCACCTTTGCTTAGGCAATCAACGGATATACCTTACAGTCCATGCTACTATGTAGTTTACTCTGGTTATAAAAATAACACCTTTCCTCTGACTTTGACTATACTTTACGCAGTTAGCCCAGTTGAAAAACATGAATAGTTTAATCCTTATCAGTGATGGGGGGCCAGTTAAGAAACATTCAAATTTCTTTTAAAAAAACTTCAGACCACACTTATACTATACACTATAACGTTTATACCCCAATGAGCTTTAGACATTCCCAAAGGGGGAAACATAGTTTAATCCAGGGTTCGGATTCGTACTTATTTTGGAAGTACAGTACTTACAAATCGACCTTCGTACTTCCAAAATTAAAAATGTACTTATTTGTAAGTACGTACTTACAAATAGACTTTTTGGTTAAAAAATTAAATTTAACATTAAAAATTCCAAAATTTTCGCCTGCGGCGCAAAAAATGGAAGATATCTGGCTTAAGGACCCCCAAAATTCTCAAAATTTTCGCCTGCGGCGCAAAAAATGGAAGACTTTTTAGCAGCTTCGTCACTAAAAAAGGTTTTTGAAAAATTTTTTTGTAGCGTACTTACATTTTGAAAATTTTTCCCCCTGTGTACTTCCAATTTGAACTTTTTGTACTTACACTTGACATTTTCTCGATCCGAACCCTGGTTTAATCCTTATCAGTTCATATTTTTCTAATTTTCTTTTTCAAAGGAGAGATTTTCCTGCAAAATCAAATTATTTTAATTTTCAGAATTTTCACCCCCTCCAAACTTCCTCAGCTCCATTCCTTCAATTCCCTATAATATTGCTGGCGGTATTCCTCCTTTCTCAATTGCAGCCACAACACCCACAATTGGAGAGACTTCTACAGCTAATAATTCCTCTAATAATTCTTATCTTCAACAACAACCCCCACTTTCATCTTCTCGGGGAATTTCTAAATCGCCTGTACCAAATAAATTATCGCCTCAACAAAAATGTGGGGGAAGAGTTAGCCAGCCTGGTTTCGATGGTTGTACTCCAGATAATTCAAATAATTCTCAATGGTCACCAATCTCTGAAAATTCATCTTGTCAGGCCAACAGAGACCAACAAGATCCCAAAATTATTAGTGAACACAAAGTAGAAATTTATGAAGAAACGGACTATAATAATCAACAAGTAATACAGAATTTTGTAAAATTTTGAAGTTTAAAAGGATTATAGGAGCACCTTTTGGGGGAGGATTAGTGAAAACATCTTTGTGACCAACTTGACGGTCTGTCTTGTGAGAAAGCCCTTCCTTTCTCCTTTATTTTTCCCTTATTCCTCGTGGAACAGGCCACTAAGAGTTGATAAAAGGGGAGCAGGCCAACCTACCGCCGAGATATAACTTCGTTCCTAATTGTCGAATCCGGGACGCCCTGGTATGGTTCGATTCAGCTTGTCGAGGCGCATCGAACCATACAAGGGTGCCCGGATTCGACAATTCTGAACGAAGTTATATGTAGCTTTGCGGTAGGTTGGCCTCGCGGAAGGTTGGGGTGTACCCTAATAAATGTTAGCTAACGGACAGGAATTGAACCTGCGACTTTGCTAACAGTACTTGCTGGGCTGTGCTTGCACCCTTACAGACTAAGAGGAAATCGTGTAACTCTGATTATCAGGTATAAGACGTGTTGAGAAAAAAGTTAGCTATACCCTTAAAGTTAAAAAATATTTTGTTCAAAAATCAAAAAAATTTCCATTTTTTAGGCATCCCCTCAAAGAATTCTTCCCCGAACTTCAACTCCTTATTCGCCCGAAGGTCGTCAGTTGGTTATCGACGATAACGCTGAGGACCATGACAATAATAATAATAGTGATGGGACTACCAACCATCAAATACAACACAATTTTAGTGGAAATTTTAATAATGGAGGGACGGAATAGATAAAAGTTTATAAAGTAATTAATGTCGGACTTCACTATAAGAATTCCATAAAATTCCCTTTGGTTTAAGAAATGTATCTTATAATGAATTGTACTTTAAATGGAGGGTATTGCTTGGAGGACACGCCCAAGTAGGCGCGCATCCAGGTAGGCGCAAAGCCATAACTACCTGGAAAATTTCTGGCTCTTATCAATTTTGGTACCAATCTCTTTAGCTCGATGAGAGTAATCGTTTAATGCTAAATTTTGAAAAATTCGAAAATCTTGAAGCAAGTTATGGCTTTGCGCCTACTTGGCCGCGCGCCCTTTGCTTGGGAGCAAGGGTCTGAGTTACGTCTTTCGCTTTTTAAAATCAGTTTTGGCACACCCGTTTGGAAGCTCTTTCGTGTACAACTAAATTTTAAAAACGTATTCAAATTTGAGATTTATTTAATATTGGGTGTATGTTATAGTGAGGGTCGACATTCTAAATGTGCAAATAATTTTTTAAAACAATTTTTTGGTTATTGTTTTCTTAATAATTTTAGAAATTTAATTTCATTAAAAATCGCACAAACTAAAGGTTTTTTGGCTTTTAAATGTGGAGAAAGGGTTTATGCCTTTTAGTAGTAGAGACCAGACCACGGGTGGGCGCATTGCGTTTTGCGTTAAATTTTAACCTTGCGTTGTGTTTTTAGATATTGTCTCTTACGCCCACCCTGGACAGGACAGGGAGGATCCTATGAGAATCGAGAAGTCGCAACCCTATCCGAATAAAATTGCAAAAAACCCCGACCCAAAAACTGACTCGACTTTTTTCTCACACCAGCTCATTCCTGGCACCCACTACTCACATTAAAAAATTTAAAAAAAATTTAAAAATAATTAAAGCAATTTATTTTTTTAAATTTAAATACAAAAATAAAAAAATTATTTCATTAAGTTTGTGATGCCTCTTTTTCCCTCGTTTCATTAATTTGAGAGGTTGAAGAAGTACATTTTTGGCACTCATCTATTTTTAATTTTGTTTCTTCTGTATTTGGGGTTGTTTCCAATTTAGAAAAACGTTCTGCTAAATTATTTTCTGTATTTTCATTTTGTTCGTTATTATTGCTGGATGTGCTTTCTACGTCTAATTCTGGTAAAGCATTTCTCCTGTGAAAAATACATTTTAAGGAAAGTGTTTGTAAATATCAGAAATTCTGATTTTTTGTATTTTTAAATAGAGTTTGTATTTTTGATTGTTCTGGTTTTGTATTTTTTATAGAAATTCTGATTGTGTATTTTCATAATTCTGGTTTTGTGTTTTTAATAGGTTGTATTTTTGATAATTCTGATTTGTATTTTTGACAATTCTGATTTTTTCTGAAATTTAATTTCTTCTGGTGTTTCTAATTTATTGCTGGATTTGTATTTCATATAGAAAATTCTGATTTCTATTTTAAATCAAAATTCTGATTTTTTGTTTCTGGTATTATTATTTTGTATTTTATAGAAAATTCTGGTTTTTATTTTAAACAAAAATTCTGATTTTTTGTATTTTCCCATAAATTCTGATTTTTGTCTTTAAAATACAGGTGTTTTGTTTATAATTTCTGACATTTATAATTTTTGTATTTTTAATTCTGATTTTGTATTTTAATTAAAATTCATTCCAATTAATTATCGCCCTAATAAAAGTTTATTTTGTCTTTCCAACCTTCCGGTTCTTCCACTCGCGCAAAACGAAGCTAATTCGTCTGCTGTAGCTTTTTCGTCGAGTTCACCCATTATTTTTTTCTTTTTTAATTAAAATGAATAATTTATTGAATTTACAAGGCAAGCAAAATTAATTTAAATAAATCTCTAAAATAATTATTTTAAATTTGGAAGGGGAAATTAGTGAAAAATTGAAATTTTAGCAACAAAAAAAAATATTTTTTAATTTTTATTAATTTATTGGATAGAGAAAAGAATTATCAATAAAATATTTAAAAATCAGAATTTTATTTTAAAATTCTGGTCTAAAAACTAAAAGAAAACTGCTAATTTCTCGTAATTTTTGAACCATAAATTTAGAAATTTTTAAACTAAAATTCTGATTTTATATTCATTTTATAGCAAATTTAATCCTTTATTTAATGATATATAAAGAGATATTGTAAGGTTAAAAATTTAATGAGTTATAGTTAAAAAGGTGCTTCTTGTAAATGACGTGTGAAAATTTATTAATCCAAAAATTATTTATGGGAAGGATGAATATTTAAAAATAATTCAAAGAGATAGAAATTAATAGAAATTTAAATTATTTAAAAATATGAGACCGTTCAAAAGTTATAAAGTTTAGAATAAAGTGATAAATATGTTTGTTTATTTATTTTGTGAAACAAAAATTCAGAATAAAAGCAGAAATTCTGATTTTTGTATTTTAAAGAGGATTTATATTTTTGTCGTATTTTGATAATTCTGATTTTTGTATTTTTTGAAAGTTCTGATTTTTGTATTTTCTGTTAATTCTGTTTGTATTTCTGATAGTTCTGGTTTCTGTATTTTCTTATAATTCTGTTTGTATTTTCAAATAGTTCTGATTTTTGTATTTATAATAATTCAAATTTTTACAATTCTGATAATTCTGGTTTCTGTATTTCTATTAATTCTGATTTTGTATTTTGTAAGAAAATTCTGGTAAATATTTAAATATGTATTTTATTTAATAGAAATTCTGATTTTTGTATTTCAAAGAATGTTTAGAATAAAATGAATGTTTTATTAAATATGTACAATATTACGCTAATAAAAAAAAGTTTTAATTTAAAAAAAGTTAAAAATTGTAATAAAAGAAAAAAGGAAAATGTCAAAAATATTTTTATAGAAAAATAATAATATTGTTTTTATATTTTTTTACCAAAACAATGGCAAAAGTTAATCCATTTTATTTTTTGTTGTTTGGCACTTTTGACAATATCTCCTTATTTCTTTTTTCCCTCGTATTACTTGAGGGAATTGAATTTTTGGGCGCAGTAGTGTTAAGGCGCGCGTTTGGATAAAATAGAAAAATTAGCACCTAAAATTCCTAAATTTTGCTATATATTTTTTTGACAGTCTTAATTAACATCCCTAAAAATTTCAGAATTTTTGAACGAATATTTCAGAAATTATAACCAAAAAAGTTTGCCAACTCTGCGAAAAATAACGATTATTCTGTTTCTTTTGCCCATAATTTTTGAAATATGAAAGCAAAAATTCTGAAATTTTTAGGAGTGCTAAATAAGACTGTCAAAAATATCCACACAAAATTTCAAGGCTCTAAGATAAATATAAAGCGCTCCCCATCCTCTAAACTTTAACGAAACCTCACTGCTAACTTGGTTAAATTTTAAGTGCTGTTTGGTGTTAGGGTCAGAATATTCTCTATAAATGTGTGTTAAAATAAAAAGAGTGTTAAAACTACAATGGCACTGACTGGTAGCTAATGTAGAGTGCCAAACATGTACATATATTTATTGGATTGGACAGCTAGTAGTAGTAAATAGTAACGGTGTGAAATCCCAAATGAAAGGGAAAAATTTTAAAAAGGGGCATTTGAAGTATGTGGAGGTTGAAGAAAAAAGAACAATTGAGTAGGAAAAATTTTAAAGAAAAATAAAACACAAGAAAAACACAAAAAAATACATACAAAAATACAAAAAAAATACAAAAATACAAAATAATATAAATCAGAATAAAAATCAGAATTAAAAGAAAATACAAATGAAACACAAAAAATGAAACACAAATATAAAATCAGAAAATAATCAGAAAGTAAAGCTAGAGAAATCAGAAAATTTCCAGTAAAATCAGAAATAATATCAGAAATGATAGACAAAAATCAGAAAAAGAAAATCAAAAAAAAATTCCGAAAACACAAATTAAAAAATACAAAACAAAGAGAGAAAATACAAAAGAAAAATCAGAATTAAACAAATAAGAAATCAGAATTTAAATGAAACACAAAAATACAAAACAAATAAAAAATCAGAATTTATATGAAACACAAAAATACAAAACAAATAAAAAATCAGAATTTATATGAGACACAAAAATACAAAACAAATAAAAAATCAGAATTAAATAATTATTCTGATATTTGCAGAATAATGGAAGGTATAGATAGCGCACATAAATTTTAGTAAATATTAATTATATATTAGTGTATTCGCGAACGGAAGTGGCGATATATTTTAATGTGTTTTTTTTAATTTTCTGCTTTATGTGTGTTGAGTGGATTTTTTTCCTATTTTTTATTTTAATGAGAGAGAGAGAAAAATGATGAAAATTAGTAGGTAGTAGAGTGGTTTTGGAAATGATGTGGATGTTAATTAATTATTTGTTTTTAAAAAACAGTAGTAAGTCCCCCACAAATGTATCACTCGAGGGGTCCATTGAAAAAGTCTGTGCCTGAGGTGCGGTATTTTTTCTTTGAAGATTCCGCCAAATCAGTACCTAGAGGTCACTTTTTTGCGCGAAAAGTTAAATTTTGGAGCAAAACCCCTCCCTTTGGGAGGGGTTTGGATTAATTTTGCGCGAAAAAACAATGTTTTGGCGCAAAACCCCTCTTCTTCGGGAGGGGTTTATATATTTTTCGGGGGTCCCGGATATTTACCGCACATCAGACACAGTCTATTTCAATGGCCCCTCGAGTGATACATTTGTGGGGATAAAAAATTACAAATATTTAAAATAAAATTCATTAAAATAAATTTTATTTAAAAATTTTTTAAATAATTGCGGAAAATGATAGGTCTGATCATTTTCTGAAAGACGCCTAGGAACGCCCCCTATTTTTTAAAAAAATTAGAAATATTCAATATTCAAAATATTTTTTCAAAGGTTTAAAATTAATTTAACAATATATTTTTTCACAAAAAACTTCCAAAAAAATTCCAAAAAAAATTCAAAAATTCTATAAAAAAGTTTTTAAAGGTGAAATGAAGCAATATAAAAGGGGGTATATTTTGTAAACTATTGTCATTTTAAAAATTTCTTTATTTTGCAATAAATTATTTTAAAATTAATTTTAAATAAATTGAATAATGAAAGAGCTTATCCCAATTGTCTCTTTTTCTGCTACTGCAAATGGATTAACAATATCAGTCCCTAAATTAAATACTCCACGTTTTGTACCCTTTGATATTTCTGGAAAATGTACAACCTGCCGAGCAGATGACGTGGAAATTGATTATGTAATTACCTTAGAAGGAATTCATATTATCAGTAATAGACTTAAGAAAGAAAAATTTGTCGCTTCTGATATAATCGAGAGATTTGGAAAGATTCCAGTGAAATTCCAATGAAGGTATCGTAAAAGAAGATAACAAAGCAAAGTCAAACGAAAGTGAAAATATAATAGAAAAGGAAGATGACAAAAAGTCAGCCGGAAATATAGAAGAGCAGGATGACAAGAAAAAGTCAGAAGAATTTATAGAAGAGCAAGAGGACAGGAAAATGTCAGACGAATGTAAAGAAGAAACAATAGAAGAAAAGGAAATTTTGCAAATTAATTAGATAATTTGTTTTCATTTTTTAAAAATTTATTTATCTTTTAAATAATCCGAATATGAAAAGTTGTTTGTCTTCAGTCAAAAAACCGTTAAAGAAAAAATTTTCTAAAATAAAAAATCAGAAAATTAAACTTAAGGGTGACCACTCCAAAATAGTAAAGAAAAAAAGTTGTTATGACCGCGCGCTTTTAGAAATATATTTATATATACCTAATCAATTTTACATTATATAATTTCGTGTCAAAATAAATATTTTTAAAAATACCGTTTATTAGAAAAATGGAGCGGGACACGGACACTTGATCGCGGGCCACTTAGTCGCGCCACTTGGTTGCAGGCCCTCGTCATTAACATTTAGTAGCAGGTCACTTCGTCGCGAAGTAATTAATAAGGAGTAATTAATCACTAATGATTAATTACCCTAATTAATCAAAACAATTAATCATTCATGATTAATTACACTCAAACCCTTCCCAAAGGGAATTTTGGAAGTTTTTTTGAATTTTTTTGGAAGTTTTTTGTGAAAAAATATATTGTTAAATTAATTTTAAACCTTTGAAAAAATATTTTGAATATTGAATATTTCTAATTTTTTTAAAAAATAGGGGGCGTTCCTAGGCGTCTTTCAGAAAATGATCAGACCTATCATTTTCCGCAATTATTTAAAAAATTTTTAAATAAAATTTATTTTAATGAATTTTATTTTAAATATTTGTAATTTTTTATCCCCACAAATGTATCACTCGAGGGGCCATTGAAATAGACTGTGTCTGATGTGCGGTAAATATCCGGGACCCCCGAAAAATATATAAACCCCTCCCGAAGAAGAGGGGTTTTGCGCCAAAACATTGTTTTTTCGCGCAAAATTAATCCAAACCCCTCCCAAAGGGAGGGGTTTTGCTCCAAAATTTAACTTTTCGCGCAAAAAAGTGACCTCTAGGTACTGATTTGGCGGAATCTTCAAAGAAAAAATACCGCACCTCAGGCACAGGCTTTTTCAATGGACCCCTCGAGTGATACATTTGTGAGGGACTTACTACTAAAAACAATTATTTGTTCTCAAAAACAATTATTTTTAGTTTGCCCGTAACAGGATTAAAATCCTAATTATTTGATTAAAAATCATTTGACTTCGAATATGCCCACATTAGGGTATATAATGCCATTCATGTCATAGCTTCATCTAATGGCCAGCTTTAGGATTAGGGTTGCCGTTTTCGAGCCGGGCTGACGTTTTTCGGGCTTGTTTTAATCGGACAGGGTCATACAAGTCATTTTCGGGTCAAATATCCTATGCTCGACTGGATCATTCTGACCGAGACGGCCCATCTTGGAAACTCTATTTGGACAACATTAAAATCAGGCACATATAACAAGACATATTACTGTAAAGCATATAGCTATCAATTTCCTAAGGCTGTGCAGTAGGCAGCGTGGTGTAATGGCTAACACAACAGTCCGGTCTACTGAAGATGCTGGTTCGCTCCCAGCCGCCAAATAACCTTTTGCACTAGCTAAAGGATAGAAATACATAGCTATAGCCCAGCTGCTTTACTTTCTAGGAATAAAAGAATGATAGTTCAAAATTTTCTTAAAATTTTGTTAAAATTTTTGATGATAATTAATGTAATAAATAAAAATAAAAATGCGCAAATATAAAGGAAAATTAATTTTAATTTATTGAGAGAGAGAATTGGTTAAGGGGGGATATTTAATGTTTAAGTTAATTAATCATATTTTTTTGATAAATTTATTAAACTAAAAAAGTGTAATATTTATTTTATTTTAACAGATTGAGTGCAAAATGAAAGAGACGAAAAAACAGAAAAAAATGACTGAAAAATGATGAAAAATATAATAAAGCTGAACTGGGGGTAGGGGATATTTCTCCTTTTGCTAATACTATAGGTCTGGGTCTGTAAATTAAGAACTCGGTCACCTGACGATGGTTACCTGAACGTGGCAAGGCCATGTTAACCTTAGGACCGTCTTATTTTACCTGTAAAAATCGCCGGTTGGTGGTTACCTAACCATCAACCGGATTCTTATTTTACGGACCCAAGTGGCTGGCATCTTCAGTTACCGAACTAATATTATCCATTACACAACAGCGCCTCCTGTATGGTCTTAGAAATTGAATACATAGCTTTCTGCTTTATTAGTAATACAATGCTAATAATGGTTGTGACTCGAGCAGTTAGCTCAAAAGTCAAGATTTTGAGAGGATATGTCGCGGTAAGGGGCACAACATTTTAATAAATGATCGGATTTTACCCGTACTGTTGGAAAAAATAACAAGCACATAAAAAGCTTTCGATTGATATAAGATTTGTTCAGAAAAATTTAAATCCAAGAAAGTTATGGTCCAATAATTACATTGGTAATCCCTGAACCGTCCCTATAAAAAAATTTGCTAAAACTTTTTTAAATTTCCGCGCTTTCAAAAATAAACTGTAAAGGACAATTGAGTATAAACGATTTAGTATCAGGCCATATTTTGGCCCATAACTTTTTTGATTCTCAACCGATTTAAACAAAAATTATATCATTCGAAAGCTCTGGATGTGAGGATTATTTTAGTTAAGCGGATTAATTTGATCAGACCATTATACAAAAAGTTACAGCCGAATAAAGAGCAAAAATCACGATTGCGCGCACTTATCAGGCTGTAACTTTTTGTAGAAGGGTCCAATAAAAATAATCCTGTTAGCTAAAATAATCCTCACATCCAGAGCTTTTGAATGATATAATTATTATTTAAATCGGTCAAGAATCGAAAAAGTTATGGCCCGAAATATGCCCTCGAGACTGAATCGGCGGTACTGAATTGTCCTCTTGGGAAATAGTTATGGCAGACACAAAAATACTTTGGAAAAGATAATTGATTGTTTATTTTTTAGGATTTGATTAGGGATTATCCTTTTTAATCAGAAAATTTTTCTTTGATTAAAGGGGAAATTAACCTAAAGGCTTTTTTAAGGCTTTCTGCCCCTATTAATGTATTTGCACAAAAAATTAGAAAAATTTAAAACTTGTGTAACTTTGCTTTTGCGGACAATTTTTGCGGACAACTTTCGGACATTTTTGCGGACAACTTTTGCGGACATTTTTTGTATCTGAAGGAAAATATGCCTGATTGGATTGATAATTGTTTGAGTCATCCTCTGATACGTTTATAAGCATTTTTGTATTTTGTCCGCATTAATTGTCCGCAAAAACTAGCGGATTATTTTTTAATTTTAATTAAAATTTATTTTTAGACTTGAAAGATAATGGAAGAACAAGAGACTTTACCTGTTGAATTTGAAAATAATCAAGAAACCGAAAGGGTGGAAGAGCAAGAGGGACAAGGGACTGAAGAACAAGAACCTCAAGAAATGGGGGAAGCAGAGAGGGAAAAGAGGGAAGAATTAAGAGTTGAAGTGAATGAAGAAGAAGAACCTCAAGAAACTTTAATTGTTGCTGATGAAAGTTCGCCTTCTCAAGACGACAATAATGTAGCTGAAGAAATTACTGATACAAATTTGGAACAGGAACAGACGGTTTATTTTTTTGAGGATTTTAAGGGAAATATGAGGTTAACTTGGTGCTCTCCTAAATTCTGAAAAAATATCTTCTAATTACCCAGTGACCTCAGAGAGTTGGTCGCTCAACTCTTGTATGTGAGGTTGTCGGGCCCTGGAAAATCTTCAGGTATCTGGAGCAATATCCGAATCCGTAAAATTTCCTGATACCCAAGGGATTTTGACCATTTCGGGGGAGAGGGGTCACCAATCCGAACTCGTCTGGGTTACCAAAATTCCTTTAAATCTTGAATAGAATTAATTATATAAAATGATTGAGGGCTTAACTTCGCCCAAATTTCTGGTCACAAAATCTCAAAAGCCGGGCCTCCTAACTTTTTGGTCGGACCTCCTCCAGTGACCCCGAGTGTATTTAAAAATTGAGCGGGAAGATGGCACTTCTTTAAATATTTTCTTAAATTTACTTAAATTCTTTAGCAAATTAACGACTCCATTTTGGATCATCCCACAACCTCCTCTATTCAAAACGAAGAAGTGGAGCAACCTACAACAACCTCTCCTGTTCACGAAGAAATGGACCAAATCGCAACAGTTTCATCTCCTCAAAACGAAAAAATGATGGATCAGGGGCCACAAAACGAAGAAAAAGAAGAGCAAAGTGCCCCCACAACATCCACCCCCAATTTAATGTCTACTTGTGCGCCTCTCCAAACTTTGGCTAGTGGATTGGCTTTAGCTCGAATTGCCGACTTTTTTGCTCAAGAAGATGAACGGGTTCTTCGATGCCATGGATTCAAAGCTGTTTTTATTCCGTGTGAAAAACTTGAAACTGTTCTCCAAAGGGATAGAAAAGATTTGAAATTGAAGCAAATGAAGGAACAACGAGAAAAAAGGATGGCAGAAAATGAAGAGAGGAAACGGAAAAATAGGGAAACTTATGGAAATGATTCGGATTCTGATAGAGATGAACGGGAAAAGAAAAGTATTTTTTTATTGATTAATGGGGGAATTTTAGAGGATCCGCTGGCCCGGGCCGGATCCCCTCAGCCTGTAGTTGAGGATTAGGCTAGTAAGCTCAAAAATGACTGGAAAAGCCGAAGCTTATTCATTTACAGCTTCCTTGGACATTATCCTCAACTACAGGCCTAACCTTTTGTCGTGAGCACGCCAACTTACCGCGAGTCCAACTTTCCGCACAGCTATAACTTCGTTCAGAATTGTCGAATCAGTGCTGCTTTGGGATGGTTCGACGCGCTTCGACGAGCTGAATCGAACCATACCAGGTCGTCCCGGATTCAACAATTTTGAACAAAGTTATAGCTTTGTGGTAAGTTGGTGTACCCATCTGGCTACGGGCCTGATGCCTTACTAGCAGATGCGGCCTATTAATAAGTGGGGGAATGCCTCTACTAATGAATAGAGGGCAAATCTGGGGTTTGCATTTTTAGGGGATATTTTCAATCCAGCCTAGCTCATTTTACTTATTTTTTACTTTTCAATTTTAGGGCGTAAAAAAGAAAAGCACCATTCTTCTTCTTCTGACCACAAAAGAAAACGTTCCCCATCAAATAATTATTCTGGAAGTGTTCGAGATGAAGCTAAAACTCCACAAAAGCGAAACTTTGCACCAGTCGTTCAATGTTGTGTTTGTGAATTAATTGTTAGTAAAGAACGTTTTGGGGGTCGAGATACTTTGTTTTGCTCTCAGGAATGTATTTCTAAAAAGGCTGAGGATGCGAGAAAGGTTTGTTTTTTGGAGTTTTTTTATTATTTTTTTTAATTTGTGTTGTTGTCGTTTGGTTAATTTTTGCCGGAATTTTAAGTAGAATTCGGTCAAGGGCGTAGCCAGAGGGGGGCTGTATCCCCCCCCCCCATCTGAAATATGAAAGTGAAAAAATTTTAGGCGGGAAATGATCACAAAAGTGAATTCTTACGCCCACAACCCATAAAATTTTCAAAATTTTCGCCTGCGGTGCTAAAAAGTGAATTTTTTGGCCTACGGCCTTCTAAAATTTCGCCCTTGAAATCGACACTGATGTTGATCTCTTTTCCCGGAATCCAGGGTTAGAAAAGGGATTATCAAATTTGGAATGATATGTGGGAGATGATACTACCAAAATTAGTGTTGGGTGTTTCCCAAAATTTTTTTTAAATTTTTGCTTCATTTAACATATATGATTTTTTCAAAAACTATTGAATTAATTGAAATTTTTTCCTTTCAGTGTGTAAAAGAAGGGGAACGAATTCTTGTTATCGACCATAAAGGTGCTATGATGAATCACAGCAATTTAAATCCAACAATTGAAAATTTGGAGGAATTTCTTATTGCAAACCCTTCATATCAACCAGTTTTGGCTTCTGAACAAATTGGTAAGAAATTTAGTGTAACATCCCTTTCCTCGAAAAGTTTTCCCTGGCGGGTCTTTTCTGACGGTTTCTCCAACTCTAATTTAAAACCAAAACTAAAAATGGTTTTGACATTAGCGTAGCCAGAAAATAATAGTAATTGTCAGATTCATTTGTGGACACCAAGGATGGTTCGTGTTCCCGTAACCCGATCCTTTAAAAAGCTCCGATTCGAAATTTGACCCAACTTTTCTTGGCCCTACCTTATACTATTAAGTAAGAACTTTTCTTAGGTAAACCGATACTGCCCTATTAATGTGAATAAACGGACAATGAGTCATGCAAGGGTAACAAAGTAAACGCCAAAAGTTTGGCACACCCCATTATAGCCCCCCCCCTAAAATTCGACCCCTGGATTCACCTTTAGATTCAACTACATTAGTTTTAAAAAATTTTTTAGAAGAAGCAAATCAACGTTTACACGATCCAGTCTATCAAAAGAAAGTTGAATCAATGAGGGTTGATGTAAGAAAAGCTATTGAAACAGCCCTTCAAAAACGATCAAAATCTGCAAATATGAATTTTTCACTTAAACGTTACAAGGATTTAGGTATGGAAATTGAACGTTCACTTTTCTCAGTTCATCAAGATGTTAATTTGAGATATCGAAAATGGTTCAAAAGCTTTATTACTGTTATTAATGATGAAATGAATGTTGGTTTATTTTTATTTTTTGGGGGGAGGACTAGTCCTTTCATAAAAACTAGGGATTGGGCGAAGAGGATGGACGATGGAGGGATGGTTGGACGCTGATGATGGTCGCGCTCGTCTAGTTTAATGAACTTTTATGCGTCCAATCAAAAAATTGGATTTTTCTTGATGTTGCAGAGTAGGTCCCGAACATGAAGAAATGTGTTGGAACCGTACCTCAACTTTGCAACACCAAGAAAAATCATTGGACGCATAAACTAGACCAGCGCCGGGCTTTTTTCGAAGAAAATTTTTAAACCCAGATTTGACTTTTTCATTCGGCCCATCATTTTTTTAATTTTTAAGGCAAACGTTACTAATTGTCGAGATTAGTTTACTCAAAAAGTCCAGATTTTGGGTAGCCCTACCTTTTCTTTTTGCCAATGTAAAATAATTGACCGATTTTGAGCTTTGACTATTTTTTCAATTATTCAACTTTTTTGTGTATAAAATTCTTTCTTAAAGTATATTTTCAATAAATTTTAGGGTTTCTTTCGTGATGTTCTTCGAGATAAGGTTTCAGTCAAAAAATTGGTAACCTTGTCGAGTGACCAAATGAATGTTCCTTTGCCTCAAAAGGATCAATCAAATACTTCATTTTCTATTTCTTCTACCGATATTGCTGCTCCTTCAACCTCAAATAGTAGTTTTAACGTTGCGCCAGCCGAATTGACTTCAATCTCCGAAATGCCTGAAGGTTTTTTTGGAAATTTTTTTCCTCAATTTTTTTATTTTATTTTTCTCAGAAAATGCCATAAACGAATCATTTACTTCTGCTAACAGCATTACTACAATTCGCAAAAAAATTGGCCCAACTACAAGTCGACACAGTATGGTCAAAAAGACACCGTTGAGCAATGTACAGGCAAAGGTTGAAAATTAATTTTAAATTTAACTGAAAGAAATTTTTCAAAAAATAGTCTAAAGCAAGGGCGTAGCCAGGGGGCTTCTGGGGCTTCCCCCCTTTCCTCCAGAAATGGGGAAAAGGGAAAAATATTGTGAGAAAAATGATAGGAAAAATAAAAAATTTTTGCTTATGACCTTTGAAATTTTCAAAATTTTCGACCACGGCATTGAAAAAATAAAAATATGTCTACAATAAAATTTGCTTTCAAACCGACAAAGTAAACGCCAAAATTTCACACCCTATTTTAGCCCGTCTGAAATCGACTCCCTGGCTACGCCCTTGTTTTTAAGGGACATCGGGAAAATATTGGGAGTCAGATGTCGAACTTTGAAGCCCTCTGAAAAATATTTTCTAATTTTTTTTTTCAAAAAATTTCTTGAATTCTTTTTGATGGAGAGACCCTTCCAATTGTTCCTTTCAAAAAAATTTTTTTTTTAATTTTGAAAAAATTCTTTTTTCAATTCCTAATGAAGAACCCTTCCAACTTTTCCTTTCAAAAAAATTTTCTTTTAAAATTTTGAGAAAAAAATTTTTTTATCTATTCAAGTCTGCAATCGACGACATTTTGGGTGATATGAATAAAGACACAACACATTTACATCAAAGTCATTTATACGATGCAAATTGTGGAGTTTGTAAACAAATGAATTTGAGGAAATTTGCAGAAAAGGAAAGAAAAGAGCGTTTGGAAGCTAAACTTGAACAAAAGGTTTTTTTGAAATAAAATTTTTTGGGAAATTTTTTAAAATTTTCTCAGAGAAAGGCAGAAGAAGCAAAAAGTGGATCACAATTAAGTTTTCCAAATTTGGATCCTTCTATTCAAGCAGCAATGTTGGAAGCTAGTGCTGCTGAAACAGCGTCAAATGAATTGGATTTTTTGAAACAAAAGAGGGATAGACAACAAAGGGAAACGGTTTGTTCTGATGAATTTTTTATTTTGAGGAGCTCGCTTTAAGTTGAAATTTTCTTTTATACTTTTTGCGTTTACTTTAGCTTCCGATTTTTTATTCCAGCAGGCAAAGGATTTCATTTTGGTAGACCAGGAATTCCTTTTTAGAGTACTTTGTTTAAATCATAGTAAAATTTCTGCCCTATGTACATATCAGGGACAGGCCCGTTACCAATGGGAATTCCCCCCTCCCCTTCCCTGAAAAAAATTCTGGCTGCGGGCCTGATCATGAATCTTATGTAATTTTCTTCGTCCCACTTCCGTCTCTTTTCTAAACTGCCACCCGCTCCCGTTTTTTATCTTTTCCATTTTCTGTGGCTTCTATCTTCCACTTTTATTTTAAAAAAATTAGAATGGGTCCATCCCTATCATGTTGTTATTTTTATATCAATTTTAGTCACATATTGTAATTTTTAAAGTTTCTACTCAAAATTATTAATCCAAATTTATTTTTCAGTTTGAACGCTCTGCCCCATCCCCATCAATTTCTAACAGCAACAATATGTTATTGGGTGGAGATGTAATTCTTGGACGTTGTGATGATCCAATAGATCAAGAACGTCGTCTACGAGATCCATTGGGTCTAGAATCTGTTGATGCCCTCCCTCCAGAAGAAGAAAATGTTCATGAAGAGGATGACAATATGTCTACTTTTGGACAAGCAAATGATGACGATTTTGATGATGGAGGAGGTGATTTTAGTAATAATATTGGTGATGATGGTTGTTATGAATCTGAAATGCCCTTACAACAATTAGCTTCTGAAAGGCTTAATGATACTGCTACAACAAAAATTGTAGATGTGAGTTGTTTTTTTTATTTTGAAAGATTTTTAGATTTAAATTAAACAAAAAGTGAATTTTTTGTTTAATTTAAATCGAAAACATCTTTTTTTGATAAGAGGTTTTATATCTTCGGGGAGGGGAGGGGGGGGGGGTCTTGTCAGCTTCTCCAATGATACCAATCTTTGGAACCCTTTTTTCCTTCTTCAACCGAATTTAGTCTTTCGCTCCCTCAAATACCTTCCAATGTCATACCGCTCATTACGGACAGCTATGTTAATTCCTTATACCAAAGATTCCGACCTACCTCATTATTATGGCTTGACACAGTCTTTTGTAATCTTTCTTATCCCCAAATACCCCAATATTATTTTTTATGGAGTAGGGTTCCAATCTAACCCTCGAGCCATGTATAACCCGCAACCATTCAAAAATATCCTTCACATTCTGATGATTCTACCCCATGTCGCGATTTTCTAGTCAGCGATAAAGAATTAAATATAATATAAAGAATAATAAAATGGAGAGAAGGGCCCTGGGGAGAGAAGGACCCAATTTTTCATATCCTAATTAACTTAATTAATATCCCTGTCTGGTTTATGTCCCTGTCTTGTTAATTTTGTAAAGATAAACAATATCTTTTTACTCAAATTCCCCATATCTCTCTTTCGCAAAAACCTACAAATCAACAGCCCTTGACACTTGTCATGTTTAACTTCGTCGACATTTTTTGGTTTATTTTGGAATAAATAGTAGTTACTCCTTTATTTGTTACCGATTTTTAAATGATTACACCAATTTAATTGTAAATTAACAATAAAACTGTAGGGAAACTTGTGGATTGCAGGAGCTTGTTCAAATCTGTACAAGTTTGAGCGAAGGGGTGGGTCATTGCGTGTCCGGAAATTTGGGGAGTGGACACTTGGGGAGTAGACATTTGGGGAGTGGATAAATGGGGAGTGAGCGGACAATTGGGGAGTGGACATTTGGGGAGTGGATAAATGGGGAGTGAGCGGACAATTGGGGAGTGGACATTTGGGGAGTAGCCTAACGATAAAAATACTATAGAATATTAAATAGTTTTTCTTGCTTTTGTATTTAGAAAATAAATTAGGAATCTCTCGAATGAGCTATTATATGCTTTTTCAAATTTCTGGCTGTAGTATAGTATACCGGAGTCAAAATTTCGATAAAAAACACATACCATTCGATTCGTCTCGGCGAGCTGAGTCGAGTGGTACCACTCTCTATTCACGGAAATGCCTGTGAACGTAGATATAGGTCCCCGAAAATCGAAAAACCAAAGGGGGGAGTAAGCACAATTTTGGGGTGAAAAATTCGAATATGCAAATAATAGCTCATTCGACTCTCTCCCTTTGGTTTTTCGATTTTCGGGGACCTATATCTACGTTCACAGGCATTTCCGTGAATAGAGAGTGGTACCACTCGACTCAGCTCGCCGAGACGAATCGAATGGTATGTGTTTTGTATCGAAATTTTGACTCCGGTATACTATACTACAGCCAGAAATTTGAAAAAGCATATAATAGCTCATTCGAGAGATTCCTAATTTATTTTTCTAAATACAAAAGCAAGAAAAACTATTTAATATTCTATAGTATTTTTATCGTTAGGCTACTCTCCAAATGTCCACTCCCCAATTGTCCGCTCAATCCCCATTTATCCACTCCCCAAATGTCTACTCCTCAAGTGTCCACTCCCCAAATCTCCGGGAGCCGGTCATTGTATGAATTGTGTAAAAAAATCCTTGTAAAAAATCCTTATGCCGAAATTTGTATAAACTATTTAAATTAAATTGTCACTTTTTCTGTTAGCATGATTGGCAATATTTATTGTTACTATACTATTTTCCATGTTCCATTGCCAATAAGGCTAAAAATCACGTTTTGAAAATAAGTTTACTGACAAAACGTGGGGTTTAGCCTTATTGGCAAAATAAGGAGGAGTCTATTTTTCTCAGTTAGAGGAGTATCTCAAATACGAAACTTCAAGTTGTGGGCCAAGTGAAGGTCTCTGGGGAGAGGACCCAAGAGACACCGTACTTAAAAATACTCTCACGGTCCAGGCTAATTTTTTTCAAGTTAAGGGCCAAGCTGATTTTTCGGGTAAAAAAAGTTAGTAAGAGAGAGAGTTCATTTCAAATAGAGCAGATTTAGTTGTGTTTATTTTTAAATTATTTTTTTAGTTTCGTTCAACTCAAAATGATCATCATTCTCATCAAAAAGAAAAACATAAAGAAAATGATCAAATAGTTGTTCCACGTGTTATTCCTCCATTTGAACAAATAAAAAGCAATAATAATAGAGAAATTGATAATAATGGAAATTGGAATATGAGAAGGAAGTCGTTTAATAATGGAAATAATGGTGGGCCTAGTCCTACTGTTAATAATGTTCCAATGAGAAATGATGAGCAACAAGAATTTATTCGAGGAGGACAAAAGTCTCTTATTTTTTTAAATTGTGTCCATCTGGCTTGTTATTTAGCCTATATTTTACGTACCTACTTATACACCCTCTATTTTAGAGATACCGTCCTTTGTTTTGTTCTACCTTTTCCATAATCTCCTGTTTTTACAGACATTTTAAGGTGGTAAAAATAGGTGAATCGAGATCTGGTGACGGACAGTTCACCGTATACCGTCATTAAACATAGAAATGTGCACGGAGCAGGCCAAGGTACCGCAGTGCTATAACTTTTTTTCAAAATTGTCGAATCCGGTACGCCCTGGTATGGTTCGAGGCATCTCGATGAGCTGAATCGAACCATACCAGGGCGTACCGGATTCGACGATTTTGAACAAAGTTATAGCTCGGCGGTACCTTGGGGTGCACCCGATGCGCATCATGCTTGGTCGAGGTTAAAGATCGATATCTCTTGATCACCGAGATTTGTAATGAATCTAGTCTCATTCCCTTGCATTTATTAGTTAACTTTATTTCTGTTCACCGATAGCCCCTATTGATCCACGATATGTCCGAAATTTCGTGTTGATACGGTGAACTGCCCAGAGAATCATTTTTGAACTTGGATGATTGATCAGTCAATGTCTCGAAATATCTTGGATAACCGTGATCTTTGAATGAGATCAAACTCTGCTTATATCTAAAGATTTTCTTGACGTTCGCGTCTAATGAAAGATCCCATCTATGCTTGTCTCTAATCCCAAATAGTCCCAAATAACCTTAAAAATTAGGTCTAAATTCGTGACTAAAGATTGATCGAGATTCAAGGTCGTTATCTCGCTAACTTTTGGTAACGATACCCGTGATTTCTGAATGATATCTCGACCCTGTTCGATCTCTAATCCCGTCTACGTAAAATATAGTTGTACTTTTTTTGAAATTTATTTTCAAATTCTCTTACTTTTGTTTATTAATTTTATTATAGGTTCACCAACAAACATCAAGTCTGGAGAGGAAAATTTATTTGGAATTCTTTTATTTCATTTGATTGTAAATTAACTGCAATAAGCAATAGAGGAGCATTTAAAGCGGGTCGTGAATTGCCTCAATCTCTTCAAGTAATGGGCAGATCAGAAGCTAGTGGTGTTTGGCATTATATTGGAAGATTAACTGATAGTTGGGATAAACAAGTTATTTTATTGTTGGTTGAACATCCACAAGGTGGGTTTTTTCAACTATTATGCATTATACTCTATTTGAAAATGAACACCGTTGTTTGTGTATTGAGTCAATTTATCATGCAATACAGCCTTTTAAGGAAAACTAATTTCAAAAATTTTTTCCGGAAAAATCAGCTTGGCCATATTTTTGGTTTCTTTTCTATATTTTCTTTTTTTACATTACCATTTTTTCTTTACCCTATATTTTGAGAAGTTTAGACGGAAAATTAACTTTAGTAAAGCAGCTCAGCTAATTGCATAGCTGCTGTCTGAGTTAGCTGAGCTGCGGGAGATATGATTGTATCCCCCTCCATCCTATCAATGATTATTCTTCATTGATGTTTTTTAATTTGTTGTTTACTTTATTCTTTCTTTTTTTTTTATAAAAATTTCAACTCATTTAGATACATATCAATATGAGTTATATATGCGTTGTTTCGAAAAAGTCAGTAGCTGTGATAATCAACAAATTATTGTTTTGGATTTAGCTGGGCATGAACATATTAAAGATGGATATGTTTTTACTCTTGGTCCTGGAATGTCTTTACCAAGTATGCATGATATTGCCAAGTCTCGATAATGTTTGTGAACTATCATTTTTCAGGTGTCCTCCTTCCATTGGATGGTCCTGGATTACCTGACTGGTGTATGCACAGAGCCTTTATGATTATAATGCTAGTTCGCCGTATGGATCGGGAGGACAAGTTATGGCGTAAACAACAAGACGAAAGTTGGCGTCAACAACGTACATTACAACCCTTGCCTTCTGAACGGTTCGATTCTTCTACGCCTCAACATCAACAAAAAAATCTTTCATCGCCGTTTGATTCCCAAATGGATTGGTCATCCTCACAACAACAAATACCCAACAACAGCTCGAATTTACGAACTCCAAATATTTCTGATATACCAAACTGGCGAAAACCACGGGTAGCAGAGGACTCTTTGATAACGACTGTAAGTTGTGCCCAGCCACCAGTTTGGCCGCCGCCGGAGGATGTGAGTTTTATTGGATATTTTAAATGGGAAGTATTCTTATCTCATTCATTAAAATATTTTTTTAGTCTTGCATTGCTTCAACTTCACAAAATCTGGAAACAACAAGGCATCATCAAACCACCAATTCTCCACATTTAAATAATAACAGGCATAATTCTGAACTTTCTAACAACAACAATATTTTGTTAGAAAATGGTGAAGAAATTCAATTGCCAATAATTGAGACAGTTGATGAATTGTTGAGAGAAATAAGGGATCAAGCTAATCCAGGTGGGTTTTAGTATACACGATTGGTAGAAGGTGGAAGAAAGGGAAAATGCCTAATTTGCCAAAAAATTATTAGATTCGATCAAATTTTGAATTTCAACAAGTTTGAAGGGATTAAGTGGGATTTTTGGCGTGTGAAGGGAGTGGAGGGGTTAATGTGTTATCGATGATTAAATAGGGGGATTTTAGTTAATATCAAGGATTAAGTGAGATATCAGAGGATTTAGAGGATACGGAGTCCTAGTCCTTAAAACAACAGACCCAAAAAATCAAGTCCTGAAAACAACAGACCCGAAATCAAGTTTAAAAAAATTTGTTTAAACATTTTAGAACATATAATCCTCCTTGTTGGTAATTTCTTACAAGCACATTCTGATTTAACAACAGAAGAAAGATTAGATATTAGTTTAGCAGTTAGACAAAGAACTATATTAGAACAGAATAAAGGAAGCAATAATAATGTTGATAATAATATTGTTGATGATTCAACAAGAACAGCAAGAACACCAACAACAGCCTTATTAGAGTATAATAATGAGAAGACTTCTGAAAAGAATAAAACTACAAGTGAAGGAACTAATGTTGTTGTAGAACAAGAAGAAGAGGGCAGGTCAAACAACAACAATCCTCTTGAAGAAGTAAATGAAACTGAAAAGGAAGTGGAACAACAACAAGTAGAAGGGGTGGAGGAGGAAACGACTAAAGTAACAACAACTTTAACTAGTGCTGTTGTTGTAGAAGGGGAACAACAACCAACTAATGAGGTGAATTTTTTGTTTATTTTTTAAAAGGAAAGGTGGATTTATAAGTGAACGTCTAATTTTAATATACCTCCTTTTATACTGAAAAAATTATTTTTGGTTTTAGTAGTTTTCAGTTTCCGCTTTTCTGATTGGCGTTCGGTCAGGTTAGGTAATACCGAAAGTATCTGACACTGTTTTCGCTAATTCTGGCACCATGCCGCTAAGATTAGGAATTTTCAGTTGTTACCGGTATTTTTTCGATACCGAAAAACTTATAGTATTCATTTGAGCTTAATCAACTTAATCAATTGACTCTTATTTTTTTAAATTAATTCACATACACTTTAATTTTTTATTAGTCGCTTCGGCCATATTCTCCTAGTGATTTTATCATTGACACACAAATCCGTTCTATTATTAATTGTGAAGATTTGAATGTCTCGAAGAAGAAAAATATTGTAAATTTTATTTTTTTTTCAAAATTTACTGCCCTTCCGATTCCCAAAATCGGGAATTCAATTTTTATTTCGGCAGGATCCCTAGATGCTTTATCTCTTTCAACAATTAACTTTCTTTTTTTTAAAGGAGCCTAGAAGAAATACAGCTCCATCACAACCATCACCACTTTCCAAACTTCCTTCAAATCGTGTATCATCATCACCTAGACCAGTGCCTACACTATCTTCTCCAGTTCCACCATCTCAACAACAACATCCACCGCCACCTCCACCCCCTCCGTCATCACCACCACCGCCACCTCCAGCTTTGTCTTCTCCACAGCCTCCTCCACCTCCACCGACAACAACTACAATTGCTTCTGCCGATGTACTTTTTAAAATTGATTTTACTGTGTGCTCGTTTTAAGATAAACTCCCCGGATATCAGTTACCCCTTAAATTAAAAGTTTGTTAGTTTGTTGGTCTCTTGGTGGGATCTACTTATTCAAGTTCTACTTCTTTAAGGATTTAACTGATACCCTTAATTTAAGATACCTTAAAATGAGGTTCGACTAATTTTATTTACTTTTGAGAGACCTAATACTATCACATTCTCCTTTGTTCAAGTATAGGGTTGTCGCTTCTTAAAGAATCTTTGAATATCCACAACCTAACCAAGAAATCATCGGTTCTTCGGTGTAGTCCTTCGATTCTAAATCGACAACCCTCTTAAGGCTTAATGTTTACTTGAAAAGCAGTATCCCTCTGTTGATCAGAATCTATCTCATGAGCAGAGGCTCTAATGAAGTCCCCCACCTCTATTAAGAGGAAGACTTCATTAGAAGCTTCTTTTGGATAGTAATTTATTAATTTTAGCCAAACGCCAGCACATTCATACCAATGGCTGTATTATTTCAACAACCTCCTCCACCATCAACATTTCCGCCTTGTCAATTACTTCAAACAATTCCAAATATTGCTGAATCAACAACTACGAACATTTCTCCTTCAAAATGTTTGTTACCTCCCCCACCACCTCCCCCTCTTTCAACAACATTATTTCATCTTCCTCCACCTCAAATTCCTCCAAATATTGCTGCTGACTTGGCGGCAACAACAACACCTATTTCTAATAAATGTTTATTACCTCCACCTCCTCCACCGCCATCTTTACAGCAACAACACCAGCAACATCCGACAAGTTCAAATAGTTTGGGAGGGGATTATGGTGGTAATAGCAGCAATGTAAATGATGATTCTATGTTTTGTGAGGATATTGAATTGGTAGGTTTTTGTTTTGTTGGCTTCAGATAGAAAATACCTAAATGAATAAGTAGATAGTTGGGCCTCATAGTCGGCCTAGTCTACCTCACAGTTCTCCTCATAATCCTCCTCATAGTCCCCTATAGTCGGCCTCACTAGTCAGGCCTCACTACCTCACACACCTTTAGAAGGTGTGATCCGAAATGTAAGTCAGACTTCACTTTTGTACTTACAAATGAGATTGGCCTTACCTTTCTTCGTTCTTTACTATAGGTTCAAGGGTTTATGTCTTGAATTTTAAGAAATCATAACCAAATTTTTTTTAAGGACAATTTTGATTCTATCACCGCTCTTCACTCTCAAAAACGACAACAACAACAACAAAAAAGAATGTTTGTTCCTCCATCGCCTACTACAACACCTAATATTTTAAGAGGACCACTACAACAGCATCAACAGCAAACACCATCATCCATTCCTCCACTTAGACATCAACAACCACCAACAACTCTTCTTAATAGACAACAACCCCCAACAACACCTTTAACTCCTCTTAATAGACAACAACCGCAACATATTCCTTCTCTCATACGACAACAACAAACATCTTCAGCGGCCATTCCTCCCCCTCTTAGACAACAACAAACACCAATAATCCCTCCTTTAAGACAACAACAATTTACTCCAATTTTTGGACGGCAACAACAACCAATTCCTTCTCTTAGACATCAACTACAACACCAACAACAACAGTCACCTATTCCTACACTTATTACTAATAGTAGAGGAAGGAATGAGGTAATTTAAAGAAATTTTCTTATTTCTTTAGTTTTTCGAGTATCCGCTCCTAATCTTCTTTCCTTTTTCTCCTTTCTCCGAAATAATAAAGGGGAAAAAAGGGAGGATACTAGTGTTTCACTGGAACCGAAATTCTGACCAGAACCGGATCAAATTTGACTTCAGGATTCCGGAACCAGAACTTTTCTTGGTCCCGGAAACTTTAGGGGATACTAATAGGTTAGGCGGTTAATGGGAAATCTCCTAACATCCGGAATAGAAATCGATACTCGAACATTTAGAGAGTGCTTTTTCCTACTGAAAAACAGAAAAGCACCAATTTCTGTTTCTTAAAATTTTTTTCAAAAAAATTTTTTTTCAGTTTCGAAACCCTCAAAATTTGCTTCAAATTAACCCTAGAGAGGATAATATTCTTCCACCACAACCATCACAAAAACAACAATTACCACCATTAAAACCAACTCCTCCCCCTACTCGACAACCACCCACATCTTCACAAAAAAGTGTCCAACAACAACCGGAAGAAAAGGAGGAAGGGGAAATTGACTATTTAACAGAAGAATTAGAAATTCCAGCAGATTTTGGTTTACCTACAAGCTTTTTTTCGAATAAACAAAGATGGGAAGATTAATTTGGGAGGAGGAGAGAGACTTAGGGAAAGGAAGAGAGGACTTTTGGGGGCAGAAAGATGTGTGAATTTAATAAAAAAAAATTTTTTTTTGAAGAAAATTAAAAAATATTTATTGGAAAATACAGTTGGACTACCTCACTTGTGAGTACATTTTTTTGAAGTTTTGTATAGTAAGAGCGAGGTAAAAGTTTAATCCCGGGCAGGTTTCGATCCTGCGACCTCCTGGCAGTTATTGCTAGGCGCTTACGCTCACCACGTACAGGTGCTCTACCAACTGAGTTACCGGGAGCTGCTTTCACCTTCTCTTTTAATAGATCTTAAACCCCCGCATAGTGAGCGTTGTAAATGCTAGCCAGCTGGATCTTTCTCTTCCTTGCAATATCTTATAATGAGGTGTACTTACTAGTGAGGGTCCAAGTGTGTTAAATTCTTTCATTATGTTTTTTGTTTTTTTTATTATGCGGACGGACCTCAATTTTAAGATACACCCTCAGGGTTTAAAAACGTACCTTATAATGAGGGGTTTGTTAAATAGAGGAGTTTTGGCTTAACCGGCTTCCCCTACCACCGGACCTCAATTTTAAGATATACCCTTAGGGTACCTTATAATGAGGTGTTTGTTAAATAGAAGGGTTTTGGTTAACCGGCTTCCCCTACCTTTGTTTAGACGTCTTCCCCCACTTAAAACAAAACCTTCGTATCTTACACGGAGAGGTTGCGAGGTGTCCTACCTAAAAACGGTCGAGACAGGGAATATCGAACGAGCCCGGTCTCGACCGTTCTTAGGTCGGACACCTCGCAACCTCTCCGTGTTAAACTGAGGTTTTTTTAAAAATAAATTTTTGGGTGTATTTTGTATTAGGTCCGTCTGTGTATATTTATATAAAATTTATTCGGATTTCAAATATAATAATAAAATGTTTTTATGATTTTTTTGGATGTTGTTGATTTTTTGGTTTTGGGACCAAATGTCTTCTTAAAAAAATTTAATTAAAAAAAATTAATTTTTAGCTTTAATTTTTAAATAAAATGAGTGAATGGGACAGATTGGTGGAAAAACTTCGGCATCCAGAGAATCCAGTGGTTTTCTTTGATGTTGCTGCTGGTGGAGCTCCTATAGGTTTTTTTGAAATTTTTTCTTTTTTTTTGAGTTTTAGGGAATGGGGTAATAAGAAGTGTGGTAGGGATTTGTCTAATGTCTGTTAATTGTGCTTGACATTTGTAAAGAAATTTGCGGACAAATTTTGCAGATTTTTGCGGATTTTTCAGCGGACTTTTTTTACATAGGTCTCTCACCTTTCTTTATTGGGCTAGAAAGGCTATTTATCCTCAGTCTTTTCTTAATGAAAAATCAAAATTTTTACGCGTGTCAAAAATAAAAGTCGCAACATTTTCGTGAGGGAAGGGGGTCATGGGTTCGACTCCGTTCCAGGTAATTTATTTTTTTTATTTGCTAGAAAATAAATATGGACCTATTTTCGTCAAATTTAGGACCAACTGTCTTTAAATTAAAAAAAAATATTTTTTTCTATTTTTAGGTAGAATAGTAATGGAACTTTTTGCCGATGTTTGTCCAAAGACTGCAGAAAATTTTAGACAATTTTGTACTGGAGAAATGTTTATTTTTTAATTTTACATTTTTATTCAAAATTTTAGGCGCAAAGACGGTGTTCCTGTTGGTTATAAAAATTCTCAATTTCACAGAGTTATAAAGGTTTTAAAATTTTATGGGGTAATTTTGGGAATTTTTAAGGGAATGTTGAGGCGTTTTTCCATTAGTTTAATTTCTTGTTCAGGGATTAATGATTTTAATTGAATAAAAAATGAGGAGGGAATGGGGGTGAGAGGGGGTTCGAACCCGTTTGGTGTCAATTATTTTTCTAACTCGTCAGTTTATGACCCAAACTAAAGGATTTTGGTATTTATAACTTAAACGAGAAATTCTATAATTATCTCAAATTCATTTGAGTCAATAAAAAATGAATGGCTTGTAGAGGGTTCGAACCAGAGCTGCGTCGAAATTTCGATTTTCGACGTTTTTTTCTTTCGATTTCCGATTTTCAAATTTTTTTATAAAATTTTGATTTTTGATATTTTTGGATTTCTTTCGATTTCCGAATTTCGAAGATTTTTTTATTTCGACGCAGCTCTGGTTCGAACCCTTGTATGATAGTTATTTTGAACCCAAAATTATTTTAAATAGTTTTTTATTTTTAAGGATTTCATGATACAAGGAGGCGATTTTGTTAACGTAAATTTTTTTGTATTTTTTTAAACATTAATTTATTAAAAAAGGGTGATGGAACAGGGATGACTTCAATTTATGGACCCAAATTTGCTGACGAAAATTTTGATTTAAAACATGGAGAGCCTGGAATACTTTCTATGGTTTTTATTTTTTTAAATATGAAACTTTTAAAATAAATTTGGGGGGTTTGAATTTTTGTAGGTGTCATAGTTAAGTTTATTAAACGCCCATTTTGTGGCTCATAAAAGGCGAGAGAGAATCGGTCAAATTAATTCATTCATTAATTCCGTTTTGGGGCCCAATCAAAAATTGCTGTCCTCTCTCCCTTTTATTTATTAAATATATTTGTTGAATAAAAAATTAAAAAGAAGGCCTTCATTTTAATAGGTATAATAGTAGGAGAATTGGAGGGTTTGTGAGTTTTTATTTAAGCTTGATTAAATTTTGTAGGCGAGGGGAGGGAGAAGGGAGGGAGGGGGGTCGTGGGTTCGAACCCGCTCCGGGGAATTATTTTTTATTTGCTTAAAATTTTTTTAAGATAAATTTAAAATAAAAATTTTATTTTGATAGGCAAACGCTGGTCCAGACACTAACGGTTATTTTCAATTAAAAATTTTTTCTTCATCTTCCAAATTTTTTTAAAGGCTGCCAATTTTTCATTACTTGTAATAAATGCGATTTTTTGGATGGAAAACATGTTGTTTTTGGTTTATTTTTTAAATTTTTATTATAATTAATTTTTTGTATTTTTAAGGTCGTGTACTTGATGGTCTTCTGACTGTTCGGAAAATTGAAAATGTTGGGGGTTTTTTTGAATTTTTTAAAAAAAAAGGAGCGTGGGTTCTTGGGGCGAGGGCTCGATCACGCTCGGTGCCCCTTATTTTTTTAATGGAATAGTCCTTCAGATGGGGTGGTTTATAGTTATACAAATTTCCACTTTTCTCTACCCCAAAATAGGGTTTTGAGGAAAAGCAGGCCTTTAAATTTGAAAATTAAGTAAATTTTACTCCTCATTGTCAGGCGATGTTTCCTTTGCTTCCATTTCAAGGTTGTTCCCATTTTGCCCCCCCCCCCTTCTCCTTTGTTCCCATTTTTTCCTCAAAATAGTCTTGGCCATCAGACGATGGCCAAGACTATTTTCGGGGTTTTTCTTGAGTATTTTTCTTGCAAATTGGAAAAATGAATGGGCAAGAATTTTCTGAAAAAAATTTTTAGAAAATTGGGAATTTTGCTATTCTTTTTCTTTTTTCCTTTTTTTTAATGGATTAGAATTTTTTAAAATTATTCTAGCCCAATTTCTATTTATTTTTCAGGTCCCAATAGTACAAAATAGCAAACCTAAATTGCCTATTGTTATTGAATTGTGTGGGGAACTTTAAATAAAAATTTTTTCATTTTTTTAAATTTATTTATAAAATTTTGTTTGAAAAATAAATTTATTTTTTTATTAATTTTTGGTTTATTCCAATTTATTATTTTTAAATTTTGTTTTTAATTTTATTTTTTTAATTAAAAATTTTAAATTTTTATTGAAAAAATGGACATTTCACCTATAGGTCAGGAAGAGAATATTGATTTGGTACAAAATGAAGAAGAGAATAATCTTCTTGTAGGCTCGTCATCTTTAAATAATGGAAATGAGATGGTTGGAGAAGGTTTTTTTTAAATTTATTGAGAAGTTTTAAATTACTAAAATTGGGGGTGGGGGTTTGGCTACGCCAGAGTTCCTGTTTTTCAAATTCGTTTTGTCTGATCCAAAGGCGTAGCTAAAGGTCGATTTCAGGGGACTGAAATTGGGTGAGCGCTAAAACTATTTTAGCCATAGGCGTACCCCAAGGAAGTATTTTAGGTGAGGTACATTCCCAAAAAGTCGACAGCCAAAAATTACTTTTATCAAAATATAAGGGTGATCCATCTAGCAGCGTTTAAACAAGCTTAGGCGGGGTTTAAACAAGCTATAAGGAGAAGAGGAAAAGGTCAATTTGTGCCCCGGTAGCTCAGCGGTAGAGCGCTTATGTGCGGAGGGGTCATGCCAAATTTTTCCAATAAAAATGAAATTGCTATCAGTTGAAGGAGATCAGTAACGAGCCGGGGCTACCGGGGCCACTTTTTTAAGCTGACTCCAGTAAACAATAAGTGAATTTTTTTCTTTTCTAATACAAAATTTTTTTTAAGTTCCAATGGAAAATGCTGCAAATGAGCAGCAAACAGAAGAAAGACAAACTGAGGAAGGAATACATAGAAACAAAATTCCTGAAGCTTATATTGAAGAACTTACTAAAGGTTTTTTTTTAATATTTTTATGGAAAATAAGCCACAAAATTTTCGATTATACCACTTAACCAAGGTGTCCAATTTTTGTTAGGGGGTGACAAATTGGTCAAAAGTAAAGGGAAATTAAAAAATGAGTTTATGTGATATCTGGCTCTACTCTTGCGGACTTTGTGCGTTTTTGCGGTCTATTTTCTTTCGGACCTTTTAAGGAAGTGGGTATTTTATGACTTTTTAGGCTAACTTTTCTTGTGGATTTAATGTGATTTTTTACGGATTTAATTCCTACTTGTTAAAGGATTCGTTCAAATATTAAGAATTGTTTAAAAAATCGAATATCTTATTTTAATATAAGAAGTCCGCAAAACCCTATCTCCCCTCTTAAAATGTCCGCAAAAAACCATTTCTTCCCTCCCTTCCACTCTTTACTACATATCATCAAAATTAAAGTTATTTAAAAATTTCTTCATTTTTTTAGCTAGCGCCAATCTCCGTACAGGCTCTACATTAGCAGATTTTTATAAAGATTTGGAGCAATATACTCCAGCAATTCCTGACGCTGTAGCTCTTTATTATATGAAAAAGGTTTCCTTAAATTATTAATTTTAAAAAATTCCTTTAAAGAATGGGATAACCAGTCCAGACCCGCGTGTTGTTCGCCTTTTTTCGTTGGCAACTCAAAAATTTATTTCGGATATTTGTTTGGATGCTATGCAACAGGTTAACAAAAAGGGGTCAACCATGAAGACCTATTTACCCGAAAGACTTACAACTTTTTGATCAACTCAAATTATTTATTTTTTCTTTACAAGTTTAATAGGTGGGTCTGAGGGGTTAAAGGGGAAAAAAGGTTTGTAGGGATTAATGGATCCTCGATATCCCCCTTAATCCTTCTCTATCCCCTTTAAAACCTTCGAATCCATCTCTATCCCCTTAATCTTTCCTAGTTCTTCTTTACCTCCTTTAAATCCCCTGATTAGACTTGTAAAGAAATGAAAAGTAAAAAAAGTAAGTTGATCAAAAGGTTGTAGGTCTTCAGGGTGTAGGTCTTTAGGGGTGGACTCAACAAAATAAATTCAGAAAAAATGTCAACAAACCCTCTAATTTTCCCCCCAATTTTAGGCTAGAATTAAAGGCCTTGGACAGGTCCGCAAAGGAACTCGTGGTGCCAAATATTGCCTTACGACCGAATTGTTATTACCTATTTTGGAGGAATATGGAATTAAAGTGGACAAACCACCTTATTATTCTTAAAGTTTTTTTGTTTTAAACTTGAATTTAATTCTGAATCAGAAAATTTAATTTATTTAAATAAACTTGAATTTTATAAAAATAAAACTTGAATCAGAATTAACCCTTAAAATCAGAATCTATAAAATCAAAAATTATCTAAAACTTGAATTCAGAACTTCCTCAAAATCAGAATTTTAATTAAAACTTAACCAGAATTCATAAATAAACTTGGAATCAGAATTTATATAAAAAATAAACTTTAATTAAAACTTGAATATTTTCAGAATTTATTTAAATAAAATTAAAAACCAGAATTCTGAAACAACTCTAAATAAAATTAAACTTTCTCTCTCCTCTATTTCCCCTTCTTTTTAGCTGCAGAAGAAATAACGCGGAAAGTTCTTCTGATTAATATATCTCTGCTTAAAGAAACAAAATAGATTAATCCCAATATCAAAAAACATAAAAATTTTCTGAAAAAAATTTTTTTTATTAATTTTCTTTAATTAAAAAACCTTCCATTGGACATTGTATTTTTAACAAGTATTGGGACATTTTCCCTTTGGTCAACGCCTAATTTCTGTTCAGCATCGCGAACGGCGTGAACAAATTGTGTTGAACTATAATTAAAAAGGAGTCTATCTGAGGTTGAAATGGGCACTCCATGCGAAGATATCTTTAAAAAAATAAATTTTTTAGTAGAAGAGGGGGGTCCCAGGTTCGAACCCGCTTGGGACAATAATTTTTTTATTTGTAAAAAATTGTCAAATTAACTTAAATTTCTCATTATAAACCCAAAATAAATTCAAATTTAATCAAAAATCTAAACAAACCGTTTTTCCATTAATTACAGCGTTTGGGTTTAATGTGGCAATAGCCAATTCCTTGTTTGGGTAAAAATAAATTCCTTGAACCTTCAAAAAAATTTTTTTTAATTTTTCATAATACTCGTAATGCTCTAATATAAGCCGGATCTATTAGAAGACACTCTCCAATATAAGTCCACCCGAGGAGACCCATCGAAAAATATAAGCTTCCTCTCTAATTGAAGTCCACTCTGCCTGTCAAAATGACCCATTAAAAAATTTAAACCCAGGGCTTTTATTAGAGCATTTACGAGCAATATTTAAAAAATAAATTAACCTCTCCAACATTCAAATAATCCCTCACAAATTGATCAAAATTAATTGTACTTTCTGTATTTAGTAGTTTCAGATGTTCTCTAGACATTCCCCCAAAAAATATGGTCATCAAAAAAATTGCAGTAATCACAGCGAGGATGAGGTGAAACGCGAAGAATTTTACAGCTAAAAAATTAAAAAAATAATTTTGAAGGTTCAAAATAATTTTATCTCCAATTTAAAAAATGAGAGGCTTTGAGCGTGGTCGAACCCACGACCCCCCCCCCCTATCCAAATTTTCATATTTTTTTTTTATATTTTTAAAGAATTCCTAATATTAAATTTTAGTATTAGAAAATTGGTAATGGCTTTTAGATTACAACAGACTAGCTTTTACAGCGATATGTTATTTTTATCAATTTAAAAATCAATAAAGGGCCCCGAGCGTGGTCGAACCCACGACCTCCATATTCTCTCTAATTGAATCATTAAATTATTCACACCCTCCTCCCCACCCCCCGAAAACTTTACAAATCAATTAAAAAATTAAAAAATAAACCTACATATAAACGCATCCTTTTCAATAGAAAAACCAGACCCTTCATTTTTTTCATTAAATTTCCTGATAAATTCAAGGATAACTTCACGCACAATTTCGGCTTTTGAAGGGTCTTTGGCAACTTCCTTACTATATTCCCACCTAAATTCGTAAAGTCTCTTGAGAAATTCTTCCTTAAATTTTTTCTTGTCCCTAGCAAATTGTTTATATTTATCTTCCTCTTCGCCTTTTTTATTTTCCTTTTCTGAGGATTTGTTGTCTGATGAGGAGGTAGAAGAACCAAAACCTCCTTTGGCTCTGCCTCGAATACCTCTGGATTCTAAAAAGGGTTTTGAGAGTAGTTGGATGATTAAAAAATAAAAAGGACCCAAACGAACTCAACCCTGTATCCGTAAATGGGTTTTGAGAACATTTGGTTAATTAAAAAAATATTCGGGCCTCGAGCGGGTTCGAACACACGACCCCCCTCCCTCCCTATCCCAATTTTCATATTTTTTTATATTTTTAAAGAATTTTAGTATTAAAAAATTAGTAAAAGCATTTGATTACAACAGACTAGCTTTTACAGCCATGTGTTATTTTTATCAATTTAAAAAATAAGGGCTCCGAGCGTGGTCAACCCAGACCTCCATATTTTCACTAATTGAGTCGAAAAATTATTTTTGTAAAAGTTAAAAAGTTATGGTTAACCACTTCAAATAACAATTAAAAATGTTTGTAGAACATTGAAAATAATTTAGTCTATTTCAAAAAATAAAAGGGTCTCGAGCGGGTTCGAACCAACAACCCCCTCCTTCTCACGCCCACATCTCCACACACAACAAACTCTACAAATTCAATTTAAAAATTAAAAAATAAACCTGCAGACGGGTCCTTTTCAATTGACAAACCAGCTTCAATCTTTTCATTAAATTTTTTAATAAATTCACGGTTAGCTTCATTCATCATTTTGGCCTTTGACGGCCCAGCAACTTCCTTTCTAAATTCCTGCACTTCCTTTCTAAATTCCTGCACACCTTCATTAAATCTTTTGACATATTCTTCCATAATTTTTTTCTTGTCCCCAACAAATTGTTTATATTTATCTTCAGCTTCGTCTTTTTTATTTTCCTTTTCTGAGGATTTGTTGTCTGATGAGGTTGAAGAACCAAAACCTCCTTTAGCTCTGCCACGAATACCTCTGGACTCTAAAATTGTTTTTGAGAGGATTTAGACGATTAAAAAATAAAAAGGCCTCAAATAGACTCAACCCACGACCCATAAAGGGGTTTTGAGAAGATTTAGATAATTTTAAAAATAACGGGCCTCGAGCGGGTTCAAACCCACGACCCCCCCCCCCCCCCCAATCCCTCCCTATCCCAATTTTCATATTTTTTTCTTCATTTTTAAGGGATTTTAATATTAAAAATTAGTAAAGATTTTTATATTACAAAAGACTAGCTTTTACAGCGATATGTTATTCTTATCAATTTAAAAGTAATAAAGGGCCCCGAGCGTGGTCGAACCCACGACCTCTATATTTTCACTAATTGAGTCGAAAAATTATTTTTGTAAAAGTTAAAAAGTTATAGTTAACCACTTCAAATAACAATTAAAAATGTTTGTAGAACATTGAAAATAATTTCAGTCTATTTCAAAAAAATAAAAGGGTCTCAAGAGGCTTCGAACCAACGACCCCCTCCTTCTCACGCCCACATCTCTTCCCCCCCCCCCCCCCCCCCCCTCCGAAAACTTTACAAATTTAATTTAGAAATCAAAAAACAAACCTGCAGACGCATCCTTTTCAATAGACAAACCAGAACCTTCACTTTTTTCATTAAATTTTTTAATAAATTCACGGGTAGCTTCATTCATCATTTTGGCATTTGAAGGGTCCTGCAAAACTTTGTTTAATCTTTCGAAAAATTCTTCAATAATTTTTTCTTTGTTCCCAGCAAATTGTTTATATTTATCCTCCTCTTCGTCCTTTTTATTTTCCTTTTCTGAGGATTTGTTGTCTGATGAGGAGGTGAAAGAACCAAAACCTCCTTTGGCTCTGCCATGAATACCTCTTGATTCTAAAAAGGTTTTTAAGAGTAGTTGGATGATTAAAAAAATAAAAAGTCCTCAAATGGACTTAACCCACGACTCATAAAGGGGTTTTAAGCAAATTTGGTTAATTTAAAAAATAACCCACGACCCCCCAAGAACGTTTTTTTATCTCTTAATTTAAAATAAAATTAACTAAAAATTAAAGAAAAAAATTTCTTACGAATTTTATTCACATTTTTTGACATTTGAAGAAAGTAATTGGGCGGATTATTATTGGCTCTTCTATGCAAAATAAAATCAGAAAATAATCGTCGCTGTAAAATTGAGCAATTGTTGAAAGCAGAACATTTAATAAATAAAAAGCAACGCATTTTCTAAAATAAAAAATCAGAATCTCTAAAATAAACCTGAAAAATAAAGAAAAAGAGAATTATATTAATGTTTAAACATATTAGGTAAAAACTTGAATATTATCAGAATTCTCTCAAAACCAGAATTTTTCCAAACCAAAAAAAACACAAGTTTAAATCAGAATTTATTTAAATAAAATTAAAAACCAGAATTTTTAAATTCTGAAACAACTAAATAAAATTAAACTTTCTCTCTCCTCTATTTATTTCTCTTTCTTTTTTGCTGCAGAAGAAATAACGCGGAAAGCGTCTTTGCCCATTTTACCTCTGTAGTAATTTAAAGAAACAATAGAGAGTAATCCCAATATCAAAAAATATATAATTTTTCTGGAAAAAAATTTTTTTAATTAATTTTTAATTAAAAAAACCTTCCAGTGGGGATTGTATGTTTAACGAGTATTGGAACATTTTCCCTCTGGTCAACGCCTAATTTCTGTTCAGCATCGCGAACGGCGTGAACAAATTGTGTTGGAGTATAATTAAAATCGAGTCTATCTGAGGTTGAAATGGGCACTCCATGCGAAGATACCTTTAAAGAATTTAAAAAATAAATTTTTTTAGTGGAGAATGAGGGGGTTAAGCCTTTTAATTCACTTAAAAATATTAACATTTGCCGGGGGAGGGGGTCCTAGGTTCGAACCCGCTCGGGGGTCAAAAAATTTTTAAAATTCATTAAAAGATTTCTATTTGAGAAAAGACAATTTAAATTAATTCTAATATTTATTTAAGCCTTTTAATTCACTTAAAAATATACTATTTCCATTTGCCGGGGAGGGGGGTCTAAGGTTCGAACCCGCTCGGGGTCAATAATTTTTTATTTGTAAGAAATTGTAAAATTAACTTAAATTTCTCTATTATAAACTCAAAATATAATTCAAATTTAATTAAAAATCCAAACAAACCGTTTTTCCATTAATTACAGCGTTTGGGTGTAATGTGGCAATAGCCAATTTTTTGTTTGGGTAATAATAAATTGTTTGAACCTTCAAAAAATAATTTCTTTTTAATTTTTAGAATACCATAAGCGCTCTATTAGAAGCCTATCTCCAATAAATATAAGCCCCCACGAGGAGATCCATCGAAAAATATAAGCCCCCTCTCTAATAGAAGCCTATATCTAATAGAAGCCCACTCTCCAATAGAAGCCTATATCTAATATAGACATGAACTATTCAAAAATTTAAACCCAGGGCCTTTATTAGAGCATTTACGGCATATTCAAAAAATAAATTCAACCTCTCCAACATTCAAATAATCCCTCACAAATTGATCAAAATTAATTTTACTTTCTGTATTAAGTAATTCCAAATGTTCTCTAGACATGCTTTCCGCAGAAATTATGGTCATCATAAAAAAGGCAGAAATTGCAGCGAGAATGAGGTTAAACATGAAGAAATTTTTGACTAAAAAATTTAAAAAATAATTTAGAAGGTTTAAAATACTTTTATCTCCAATTTAAAAAATAAGGGCCCCGAGCGGGGTCGAACCCACGACCCCCCCCTCCCCATCCTAACTTTCATTTTTTTATATTTTTAAAGAATTCTTAATATTAAAAAATTAGTAATAGCTTTTAGATTACAACAGACTAGGTTTTACAGTCATATGTTATTTTATCAATTTAAAAAATAATAAAGGGCGCCGAGCGTGGTCGAACCCACGACCTCCATATGTATTTTCAGTAATTGAGTCCTTAAATTATTTTTTCTAAAGGTTAACCATTAAAAAGACTTAAAAATGTTTCCAAAACATTGAAAAATAATTTTAACCTATTTCAAAAAATAAAAGGGCCTTAAGAGAGGTCGAACCAACGACCCCCCTTACTCCTCCCCTCCTTCCTTTCCAACACACCTCCTCCTCAAAAACTTTACAAATTCAATTTAAAAATCAAAAAATAAACCTGTAGAATCATCCTTTTCAATAGACAAACCAGACCCTTCACTTTTTTCATTAAATTTTTTAATAAATTCAAGAGTAGCTTCATTCATCATTTTAGCTTTTGAAGGGTCTTTAGCAATATTCTTTACATTTTCCTGCACAAATTCTTGAAATCTTTTGAGAAATTCTTCCTTAAATTTTTCTTTGTCCCCAGCAAATTGTTTATATTTATCCTCCTCTTCGTCCTTTTTATTCTCCTTTTCTGAGGATTTGTTGTCTGATGAGGAGGTCGAAGAACCAAAACCTCCTTTAGCTCTGCCACGGATACCTCTGGAATCTAAAAAGGGTTTTTGAGAAGATTTAGACTAAAAAAGCCCCAAATAGACTCAACCCAGTACCCAAAAAGGGGTTTTGAGCAAATTTGGTTAATTAAAAAAATAAAGGGCCTCGAGCGGGTTCGAACCCACGACCCCTTATTATCAATTTTTAAAATTATTTTTTGTAAAAGCAAGTCTATTTGGCTTAAAAACACTTCAAAACCATTTAAAAATGCTTCTAAAATATTTAAAATAATTTTAACCCAATTCTAAAAATAAAGGGCCTCGAGCGGGTTCGAACCCACGACCCCCCAAGAACGCTTTTTTATCTCTTAATTTAAAATAAAATTAACTAAAAATTAAAGAAAAAAATTTCTTACGAATTTTATTCACATTTTTTGACATTTGAAGAAAATAATTGGGTGAAAGAACATTATTATTGGCTTTTCTATTCGAAATAAAATCAGAAAATAATCGTCGCTGTAAAATAGTGTTTGAGCAACTAAAAGCAGAACATTTAATAAATAAAAAGCCACGCATTTTTCTAAAATAAAAAAATCAGAATCTCAAAATTAAACCTGAAAAATAAAGAAAAAGAGAATTCCATTAATGTGTAAAGTTTACACTGTAAACAATAGTGCACGGCGCCGGCGCCGGATCTGGGCGGATTTTTCCGGAGTCCGGGTCCCAAATTCGGGTTTTTTCCGGACCGACCAGATTAATCCAAGAAAATCCGGCCGGATCCGGTCATGTTCAAGTTACAAATCCGGAATCCAGGTTCGGAAAATCTATTTAGCCGGGCAAAGAAAAAAATTAAGACTCAAATGGAATAGAAATAAAATATTTGCGTTAAAGCCCGTTTCAGTATCACCGATTCATTCGTGAGCTATATTTTGGGCTATAACTTTTTTGATTCTTAACCAATTTAAATAATTTTTATATCAATCGAAAGCTCTGAATTTGTGTATTATTCTAGCCAACAGGATTGATTCGATTAGAGTATTCTACAAAAAGTTACAGCCTGATAAGCGCGCTCAATCGTGATTTTTGTTCTTTATTCGACTATAACTTTTAGTAGAATTATCTGATCAAATTAATCCTGTTAACTAAAATAATGCTCACATTTAGAGCTTTCGATTGATATAATATTTATTTAAATCGGTTGAGAACCAAAAAAGTTATGGCCCAAAATATAGCCTCTAGATTGACTTGCAGATACTGAAACGTCCCCTCCCTTAAAAAATTTGACCGTGAATTCAAATCACGTGTATTTCCCCTTAAATTTTTTCAAGGTTAAAATTCCCCGTAAATTTTACATTTGGCTGATGTAATTTAATAAAAGTTTTGCATTTTCTTAAAATAAATTTAATCAGCTGCTTGGCACTCCCACATATTTTTTTTAATTTTTATTTATTGTTTGTTTTCGTTATGCGTTGGATTTTTAGCATTTTCTAACAGTTATAAAACGCTTTATAAAATAATCAACAGCTTCGAAATATTTTTAAAATTTTTCTTTTTCCTTTAATTCGTATTTTTCATCATTTTAGCCCTTAACGGCACTTTTTGTACTTGTGGTTAAGTGGTTTAATTTTACGATTTTTTTCGATTTTTGCAGATTTTTGGTCCAAATTTTTTTCTTATACAATTTTTAGAATTTGAGCATGTCTGATCTTTTAGAAAATTCAATGCCCTTAGGCAATTTAAGTAATTTGGCTGAATTCCATCCAATTTTGTTAAAACACTTTAATGGCTTGCCTATAATGAATGTAGCTGTTGAAATGGCTAAAGAATTGGATAAATTGGCAAATGGAAAGTGTGAAGGTTTTTTAAAATTCTTAAATTATTTTTAAAAATTATGGGCGTATTTTTAGTGAAATTCTGGGTAAATTTATATTTAAGGGCCCCGAACGGGTTCGAACCCTTACCCCCTATGTGAGCTTATTTTTAAGTTTTTAGCTTTCTATTCAGTCTCTTTTCAATTTATAACTCAAAAATCTGTCGATCTAATTTATTTTTATTTGTTTATTATTAAAAAACTCCTTTTAAAAAATATTTTCCCCGAGTGGGTTCGAACCTCCACCCCCTCTTCCTCGGTTATTTTTTAATTTTTTTCCCCAATTTATTTTTTTTAAATTTAACTTTTACTTTTTTTAGAAAAACCTTCAAAAGAATCTCTAAATTCACTTCGTGTAAATATTTCTCGATTAGAACGCCTTTGTGATTCCTGGTTAAACACTGGACATTACTCAAATGTGCCTGACCGTTTGCGTTTACTTTATTCTTTTTTGTGTGCACTTTTGGCTAAATTGGATTTTTTACGTGAAGATTATTTGGTATTTTTTATTTTAAAATAATTTTAAAATTTTTTTCTGATTAAAATGGCAATTATTTTTAAATTAAAGGGGGTCGTGGGTTCGAACCCGCTCGGGGGTATTTATTTTTTAATTTATTTTAAAACCGTGATTTTTCATTTTCAATTAAAATTAGACGTTTCTGACTTGGTTTTGAATTTATTTAAACATTTTTAGAATTCTTTAAAATTTTTTTGAACCTTTTTTTGTTCTGACCCTTTTGAACATTTAAAAAAATCTGTTTCAAAATTTTTTTTCTTAATTAAAAACCTTTTTTCATTAAGTCCTCTTTACGTTTCTGTGATGAAGGATTACTTAAAGGCCATGATTTGGAGGATGAGAGCCTTTCAAAATTTGCTTCTCACCTTTGTCGTTATTTTCTTCCTTCAACGCCTGAATTATTTACACAAAATAATAAAAAGGTTTTTCTTTTATTTTTAATGTTTTTAAATATTCTTTCCATTGATTTTTTCGGGTTGTCCGCAAATTTTTTTGTCCGCAAATTTTATTCTACTTATTAGGGTTGGACGAGACCGTTTAATTCAAGGTTTATTACTCCCTGTGGCAGACATTTCCCTTCTCTCTTCTCTTTTTGACCAGCCACAGGGAAAAATAAACGAGGAAAATTAAACGGTCACGTCCAACCCTACTACTTATGTTAGTAGCCTGAATGTGTATTTTCTGGAGTGATTTTTAATGGGTCTGTCGACATTTCCGAAATTCAAACTTTTTCGATCCGGAAAGAGATTTTAAGTAATTTTTAAACCCGTCCCGACTATTTCCCTGTTCATCCCTGGTGTAGTCACTGTTAAAAAATCAACAACTCGACTTTGAAGTCAATCGAGTTTTTGCGGACAAAATTTGCGGACTTGAGGAATATAACAGTAAAACTAATAAAATTTTCCATTTCTGTTAAAAATAATTCTTTTCAAAGCCAACTTCCCCTCCACCACCTCTATCCAATTCTTTTCCAATCCAAATTGAGCAACTTCCTTCACTCGAATTTTTCTACAAAAATAATTATTTGCCTGGATTACCTTTAATAATTAATGGAATGGTAAATGGTTGGCCTGCTTTTGAAAAATGGAGGTAAAAAATAATTTTTTTGTTGAAAATTTTTTGAGAAGAAAATTTTTGAGGAGAAAATTAATTTTAATTAAAATATTTTTTCAAAAAAATTTTAAAAATTAAAAAAACTTTAAATAAATTAAAAATAATTTTTTTTAATTATTGTAAAATATATTTTCTCTTTTTATCTTTTATTTTTATCTTTAATAAATCCCCCCACTATTTTTTTTATTTTTCTAATGCTTTTTTATTCTTGCTGTGCTTTTTCTTTATTCATTTTATTTATTTTAATATTTTTATTTTTTTTTAAATATCGTGCTGATTAAGAGCATATCCAAAGGAGTAAATTGAGGGGATGGGACTGTAACAAAAGTATGACTTTCGCCGTTACCTTTTTTGTTGTTTCGACTTTCGTTTTTAATTTACTTTCGCCTAATTTTTTTAAATATTTTTTGGCATAACCCTTTGGCTTTAACTCTTTCCTCCCTTCCTCTCCCCTCCTCCCTCCTCTTTATTCCCCTTCCACCTCTTCCTCCCACAAAAAAGCCCAATTTCGCGTTTTCTTGTACATATTTTTTTTGAATTTTAATTTTATTTATAATTCAATTTAATATTTATTTTTTATTTCCAGTTAATTTTTAAATTTAATTAAAAAATTTTTTCAAAAAAATATTTCTTCTTCAAAAAATGCAAAAAAATTTATTCAACTGCGAAGAAATTGGCCAAGCAATTTTGGCCGCTGCTAAAAACAACGAACATTTTTTGGCTACAAAAAGAAAAGAGGAAGAAGAAAAAATTGTTGAAGAAAATAATGAAAATAAAATAAATACTGAAGAGGAATTTTTGTTGGAGGTTAATAACGATGATGGGGAGAATACTAGCAATTTTTTGGTAAATATTCTGAAAAAAATTCTGATTTTTCTGGAAATATTCTGAAAAAAATTCTGATTTTTCTGGAAATATTCTGAAAAAAATTCTGATTTTTCTGGAAATATTCTGAAAAAAATTCTGATTTTTCTGGAAATATTCTGAAAAAAATTCTGATTTTTCTGGAAATATTCTGAAAAAAATTCTGATTTTTCTGGAAATATTCTGAAAAAAATTCTGATTTTTCTGGAAATATTCTGAAAAAATTTCTGATTTTTTTCTGAAAAATTCTGATTTGAAAAAAATTCTGATTTTTTTCTGAAAAATTCTGAGCCTAGAAATTGGTTATAATAAAATCAGAATAATTAAATAAAAATCAGAATTTAATTTCAAGTTTATTTAAATTAATTCTGATTTCAAGTTTAATTAAAATTCTGATTTAATTTATAATTAAAATTCTGATTTTTAGTTAAATTCTGCAAAAAATTAATAATTTAAAATCAGAATATGATTAATTATTTAATTAAATCAGAATTTTTATTTAATTTAAAACCAGAATATTAATGCAACTTGAAATCAGAATTTAATTTTTAATTAAATTCTGAAAAATCAGAATTTTATTTAAATTAATTCTCATTTCAAGTTTAATTAAACTTTAATTTTTTCAGCACCGTTTACACCAGAATTCTCAACTTATTTCTCCTTCCAAAACCAATGAAGATTTAACGAATAAAAAAGAAAATCCAATAAATAAAGTATTCGAATCTTCCCAAAATAATGAAGAAAAGAGCAAAACAAAGAAAATAATTAAATTAAAATTAACAAAAAAATTTATTAAAAAAATTGGACAATTATTTGATGAAGAAGAAAATAATGATGAGGAGGAAAAAGAAAATGAATTATTAAATAATGAAATTGAAATACCTTTGTGGTTATGTGAAATGTTTTATAAGGCAATACATTTTGGGGTGTCTATTCCTAATGAGAAGATAATTGAGGGGGAAGAAGAAGGTAAAAAATCAGAATTTTAATTAAACTTGAATTAAATCAGAATTTTTAAAATCAGAATTAAAAAAATTAAAAATCAGAATATAAAAATTAAAAAGCAGAATTTTAATTAAACTTGAATTAAATCAGAATTTTTAATATCAGAATTAAAAAAATTAAAAATCAGAATTTTAAAACTTGAAAAATAAACTTTAAATCAGAATTAATATTTAATCAGAATTTACAAAAATAAACTTTAATTAAATTCTGAATATAATCAGAATTTCTTTCAAACCAGAATTTTTGGTTAAAATAAATTTTAATTAAAAATTCTGATTTCAAGTTTAAATAGAAATTCTGAAATAAAAATAAACTTAGTAGAATTTATTTAAACAATAAAATCAGAATAATTAATTTAAAACGAACCAGAATTAATTTAAAAAATAAACTTGATACCAGAATTTAATAAATTTTTTAGTTTAATTTTAAAAATAAAAATTGAGAATTTTTTTAAAAATTCCTACTTTGTTTTATTTTTTAATTTTTATTTAAATTAATTTTCCTATAAAATTAAAATTTATTTTCTCTTATTTTCCCAGTTATCCCAACTAAAAATCAAAAGAAAAAAATTATACCGACTAATAATAACGCTTTAATTAAATTATCTGCTCTAACAACTTTATATGAGGTTTTCCCTGATGTTCCTCCCAAAACAATTAAACATTTTGCTAAGGAGAATGGGTAAAAGAAAATTTTTGTTTTTGATTTTAATTAAAAATTTGATTAAATAAACTTAAAGCTTGGAATTTATAAATAAACTTGAAATCAGAATTTTAAATAAACTTTTTCTGATTTCTTAAATTAAATTTTATTTTCAGAATTTTTATTTAAATAAGCTTGAAATCAGAATTTTAATTTAAAAAATAAACTTGAAATCAGAATTTTAATTTAAAAAATAAACTTGCTTCTAAATATTATCAGGAAAAATTCTGATTTTAATTGGAACTAAATTCAAAATCAGAATTTTCATTTAAATAAACTTGAAATAATAAACTTGAATCAGAATTTTAAATAAACTTATTCTGATTTCTTAAATAAAATTTTATTTTCAGAATTTTTATTTAAATAAGCTTGAAATCAGAATTTTAATTAAAAAAATAAACTTGAAATTTCTGATTTTCAAGTATATTTTCAAGTTTAAACTTTCAAGTTTATTTTATTAAAATCAGAATATTTTTAATTTTTCCCTAGTTATAATTTTGAATTAACTGCAAATTGTTTATTAAATATTTCTGAAAGTTTTGATGCAAAATTGGATTTAATTTCAACAGAAGAACAATTGGAGGAACAACAAAATTCAATTAATATAATTGTGCCCTCAAAAAATCCAAATATAATTATTCCGTATGGAGCCCCTCCTCCTAATAAGAAGGGCGCGGATGGGGGGAAGTTGGAGGATTTGGTGAGGGGAAAATCTTTAATAATAAAAAAATTTGAAAAAATTTTTTGGAATTTTTAAAATAATTTTCAGACCCAAAAATTTTTTCATTTTTCAAGTCTCCTTCACTTAATTTCAACGATTCTTTACAAACAATAAGTCAATTACTCGAACAACTAGATTTTGAACGTCGTCACTGCCTTTCTATGGCAAACCAAGTTAGAGGAAAGCCTCACGGCGGTGCTTTGTGTGGACATTATATGAGAAGGGTAAATTTAAACGACAATTAATTTTTTCTGTAAAATACTTAATAAGACACTGGGCCCAGGACCGGATTTTTTGGGCTTTAAAACCCCAACCCGGGTCATTCCTGAAACCCCCAGGCCAGCTCGGGTTTTTAACTAAAATTTAAAAATTAGTTTAAATTAAATTATTATATTAATAATTAAGCTTATAATAAATTCAAAAAAAATTTTTTTTAAGTTTCTGATTATAAAAAATTAAAAGGCGCCGGGCGGACTCGAACCCATGACCCCCTAACTTTCAATAATTGATCTCAAAATTATTTTTTTTCCAAAAGTAAAGTCTATCGGGCATAAAAAACACTTAAGAATATTTTTAAAAGATTTAAAATAATTTTAGAATAATTTTGGATAACTTTAAAAATAAGGGGCCCTAAGCGGGTTCGAACCCACGACCCCCCTCCCCCCTATTTTTCAATATTAATGCTTTTTCGAAATTATTATTTAATTAAATTTTATTTTTTAATTTTTTTAAATTCAAAACCTTTGAAAATTAACAGAGAATAATTCGGAAAAATTTTTTTATTTTTTAAATTTAAAGGCGGGAACACTTCATCAAGAACAACTACGTTTAACCTACCAAAATGACCGTTTAAATGCTTGGAATTGTCCAAATGATTGTTTTATAGATTTACATGGAATGAATTGGAAAAGGGCTGTTGAATTTGTTAAATATAAAATTGATTTGTGTAGAGGTGAGGATTGTGTTTGTTGTTGTTAATTTCCTTTCCCGCTCATTATCCTCCCAAAAACCGCAAGCAATAATCATGCAAAATTGACACAATATAAGGGGTTCATTCAACTTTTCTATTTTTCTCCTTTCTATTTTCAGTAGTTAAATCGTGGTAACTCTTTTTACCTATTTGTGCCCAATTTTTCTCTATTGCCACATTTTGCTCTATTTTAGTATTTTGAAAAAGGACCCATGACTCAGGCCATGTTTTCAGTATCACCTTTCCTATTCCAAAGCTTATAAAAGTCGAATTAAAGTAGTTTTATAAAGCTCGCAAAAATTCTACTTTGTTTAATTTTGATACGATTTAAAGTATCTTTTATTTTTACTTGTAGTTAGTATATTTCTGAAATAGCTTGTGGGTATTGATAGGCATCCTGTTGTAGTGATATTTGTTTATCCCGATTCCCGAGTTGGGAAATTTTCCCTAGTTTTTGGCCTCCCTACTCCCGAGGTCATTTCCCGACCCGACTCCCGTTTCCCGGGGGTTTTTCTTCTCCCGAACATCACTATCTTTTTTGCCTATCCTTGACTTTTTTCCTTCCTTTCAAACATTTCTTAATTTTAAAGAAACAATGCCTAATTTACGCAAACTTCATGTAATTACCGGTTATGGAAGTACAAGTGGTCATCTTTCAGTTATACGTCAAAAACTTCAAAAATTTTTATCAAATAATGGAATTGAGTAAATTAATTTTTAAATTAAAATTTTTTATAAAATTTTTCAGTTTTTGTATTTCACCTCAAAACCAAGGAGTGGTGGAAATTCGTCTACAAGGAATTCGGCAACGGTTGAGTGGGGTGGATTGAATTTGTTTTAAATTTCTTTTTTTCCGTTTAAAAATACAATCGAACCTCACTATAAGATACAACCTTAGGGTCGAAAAAATTGTCCTTGTAATTGAGGGGGAATTTTAGGACTTAAAGAATAACACATGAAGTATCATCATTTTAGTGTCAGAAAAAATGTAGGAATAATAAAGGACAATCGATAATGGTCTAACACAAGTGCCGGACCAAGTCCGAACGTTAATGATAATTACTAGCTAGTGAGGTCCAAGACCGAAAAGTTTCTAGGACCCAAGACAAGACCATTAAAAACTCTAGAAAAAGTTTTGGAATCAAAACTCAAGACCAACAGTCTTCGAGGTCTAATAATTACTACTAGACCTGTACTGAGCTGTGTCTAAAATAGAGAGTATAGCTTATTCAGCATAATTTTTAAACAAAAGTGTGTTATTTAATGTAAATTATAGTGAGGTTCGAACTATTCAATTTAAATTTATTATCGTATAATCTACTAATTCTTATATACCCTTCTTGCATAACTCATTTTATTAATTTTTTATCCTCACACATATTTAATCCACTCACTTATTCTTTAAACGGAGTATATTTCAAGTATTAATTTGAGTTTGAACTCAGGACTAGGGCAAGGTTCTTTATAACACGGATACGGGGTATTTTCGAATAGATCTGGTGTTTTTTGAGGGTTTAACGTGGAAAATCCCAGCCCGCTGAGTTTAAAAGAAAAAATCCGAGGCCCGACAATTTAAAGTTCAAATTCCATGTAATATTGATATTCAATTTTTACTAAATTTTACCAATTTCTGTCAACTCTCTCTCTTGAGATATCTGCTTCCATTTTATGATATAAAATCTTTTGTAAAAATTTTACTTATCAAGGATTGACTTTTAATCTTTTCTTTTTTTCTTTACTCAAAAAATATTTTTTATTAAAATTATAATTAGGTACTTTTCGGTTTAAGATTTTATTAAATTTTTTCTTGGAAAAAATTCAGGTTAAAGATTTTCGAACTTTTTACTAGAATACATATTAATCAAAAAGTACCTATAAATTTAAATCAAAATTAAATTTTTTAAATAAAATATATACTCCCGATTTTGCTCTTAAAATTAAAAAAAATGTAGAAAAATAAATTTAAAAAATTAAATTTGGAAAAAAAAATTTTTAAATTTTTTTTTGGGTGGAAAAGAAAAAAAATTAAAATTTTTAAATTTTTATTAAGAAAAATTTTTAATTTTCAAAAAATTAAAAAAATTTTTTGGGCAGAAAAGTAAAATAAAAAAAATTTTTTTATTCAAAAAAAATATTCAAAAAATTTTTTTTAATTTTTCAAAAAATTTAATTCATTAATTTTCCAGTTTTTCCTACCTCAATTCAATTTGCGGTCACCGCCTAGTACCTGTTGAACTAGGAAATAAATATACAGACGAAGATTGGGAACAAAAAATAATTAAATTTAATGAATATTTAATTAAATATATTTTCCCTCCACAAAAACAAAAAGAAGAGAAAAATTTAAAAATTGGTTATTTAGCCCAGCACAGATTATTAGACCAAATACCAGAATTAATTAATGATTTAATTATACCAGAATATTGTTCTTTTGGAGAGGAGGAAGAAAAAGAAAAATCAGAATTTACAATTAATGTTTTTATTGGGCCTGAAGGGACTGGTAAAGTTTAAATAAACTTGAAATCAGAATTAATAAAAAAATCCGAAACCAGAACAAATAAACTTGAAATCAGAATTTTAGTTAAATTAGGGCTGAATTTAAAATCAGAATTTTTATTACAACTTGGAACCAGAATTTCTATTAAAATCTTAAGTATAAAATCAGAACAAATAAATATTAAAATCAGAATTAATAACATTAAATTAAAACTTGGGAACAATTTACATAAAATCAGAATTCAATAAACATTTTAAAATTAAAAAAAGAATTCTATCAAGTTTTATTATCAGAATTCTGATTCCAAGTTTATTTATCGAAATTTCTGATTCCTAAATAAGTTTTAGAAAAAAATAAATTTAAATCAGAATAAATAAATTTAAAATCAGAATTAATTTTTAAAAATCAGAATTTAAATCAGAATTAATTTTTAAAAATCAGAATTTTAATCAGAATTAATTAAAAAAATTCAGAATTAATATCAGAATTAATTTTTAAAAAATCAGAATTTCTTTAATAATTTATTTTAAAGTCTCTCCCCTCCACACCGATCCTCGTCACAACATGTTCTGTCAAATACGCGGTTCAAAGTTTGTCCGTCTTATTGACCCAAAGGAACGTGAAAGTCTCTACCTTTATGATGACTTGATGAGGCAAAATAGCAGTCAAGTCAGAAAAAAAATTTTTTTTTGAATTTTATTTTTAATTTTAGGTCGATGTTGAAAATCCAGATTTAATTAAATTTCCACTCTTTTCTAATGTAAAATGTTATGATAGTTTAGTGGAGGAAGGGCAATGTTTGTTTATACCAAAGGGCTGGTTTCATCATGTTCGGGGTAAATTTAAATATTTCAGAATTTATAAAAATAAAACTTGAAATCAGAATTTTTATAAAACAAAGAAAATCAGAATTAATTAAATTCTGAAAAAATTAAACTTGAAACAAAAATCAGAATTTTTAATTTTGCAGCATTAGAGCCAAGCATTTCTGCTTCAATCTGGTTTGGATAGATACACTTTGAACATTAATTTATTTAAAAAGATAAATCTTCTGAATTCTTATTACACGAAAATTAGAATGGAACTGAGAATTCTAATAAAGGTGTTTTTCCTTGAGTGAAATTAAATGAAAAAATTTAAAATTAATAAATTTATAGTTAATCTTTAAATTTACAATGTGACCATAAAAGTTTATAGCGTAACTTTACACAAAAAAAGATTTATTTAAAGGTTTCACATCCTAATTCTAATAAAGTTGTAAAGACAAGAGTAATTCTAAGACGGGTATTACAAGTCGGACCTAGAAGAAGTTACTAAATTAGTCAGAAAAGTTTAAATAGAATTACAGAAAAGTATATATTAGTGTTGGTCAAACGCGATTTTTCGGTATCGGTATCGGTATTTTCGGTAAAAATACCGCGGTATTACCGAAAAATATCGCCGTAATACGGTACCGTGACAAACACTAGTATATATATCTTTTATGAAAAGACCGAACGAATGATCCTGAACCGAACAAATCAGGTTTCTTTAGTCAACTCTATCAGGGTTGTCGGTTTCACCAGATTCATCGATTAACCGAAACCGACAAACTTAACCGAAAATCTTCGGTTATAATATTTCCTATTTCATAATATTTTCAAATTACTAATTATTCATAAAACTATTTAGCATTTAACAAAAATTATACATAGCAATGAAGAAACTTAATAGTTGTACCGGAAATATATAATGATAACATCAGTCTAAATATATTTACTCTAAATTAGTCATATTTAAAGCGAAAATTAATTAATAATTTTCACAAATTTTATTTTTTTTTTACTCTAAATTAGTCATATTTAAAGCGAAAATTTATTACTAATTTCAGTAATTTTATTTTTTTATCTACAAATATAATATTTTTTTACATTTTATTTTCAAATAGCAAAATTTGTTTTTAATCCTACAATTTTTTAATTTATTTAAGATTTTTTCTTCATATTTCAATCTAGAGTAAGAAAATTCATTTGACTATATTTCGTCATTTTTTGTAAAATTTTGCCAAAAATTACCAAAATTCCTCAAAATTTTGTAATTTTTTGTCAAAAAATTTTTTATAAAAATTTTCGAAAAATTTTTTCAATAAACTTTTTGGAAAAGTTTTTTCAACAAATTTTTTTTCATAAATTCTAAGTCCATAAGATCTATTAGACGATCATTTAGCTTGATTTTCCTGTCTTTTTAATTATAATAATTGGTATAGTTTTTATAGTTACAATCAGGGCTTTGATTTCTGCGGATTTTTCCTCGTTTTGTGGTTTTTTGATAGGGCGATGAGGATTATTTTTAAAAATGCGGATTTGCGGATTTTTGTGGTCTTTTGAAGATTATAAGGATTTTTTGTCTTCATAGCCATCCAAAATTCCCAAAATTTTCGCCTGCGGCGCAAAAAAAAGATTTTTCGAGTAAACAATTCACTACAACTAGGGAAGGTGAAAGCATTGGCTAAAGTCAACAGTAATTTTTCATTTAATTGTTCGGATTTTAATAAGATAGTCATTAGTATTCATAAAATTGCTCAATTCAATTGTTGGAGTCAAAAAATATAACGCATAAAGTGATTTTAATTCAATTTTTGTGGTTGAAAATTTTTTGCGGATTTTTAATATCAAATGCGGATTTTTTCGATCAAAATTGCGGATTTTTAAAAATTCGAGATCGAAGCCCTGTAATAATTGGTATAGTTTTTATAGTTACAATTATGTTACATTTAATAATTGTATAAATATTTAAAATTAAGAATTATTTTTTTATTCAGTTTGCCAATAAATTTAAATAAAAATGATTCACTGCTTTTGGGGTTATGGGATCAACATTATTATTGGAACAATGATGCTGTTAAATTGTGACGACGTAATATTTCTAATGAATCTTTATAAAAAATTTGTAAATGATTAGGACTTAGTAATGGGATAAAACCTATGATAAATAACTAAGATTAAAATTTGGTGATATTTATTTTAAATGTTATTCTATAATTTCTGGAGTCAAATTCCAGAGTATTTCCCTGTGAGAGAACTAAATAAATGATTCTTAAAGTTTTATATGTATGTATGTATTAAGAGGAATTGGGGAAAATAAAAATACACATATAAAGATCAAAATAAGTGTTTGGAAGCCCGTACGAGACGCATACTTGCTTGTACTTGATGAAAATAAGTCACATGACTATCACAAATTAATTATAGGGATCTAGGGAATATGAGAATATTTGGATAGATAAGTGCGATTATTGCTTATTCCTTTACCAAACTCTTTTAAAATTCTGATTTATTTTTATATTAATCCTTAAATGTTTATTTATTAATATTAGGGTTGTTGGCGACCGGTTAAAAATCGATACCCTCGGTTTTCGGTTTTGGCTGGTTTACGATCCCCGGTTTTCGGTTTTTGATTGACCCCCGGTTTTTGGTTAACCGAAACCGGTTTATGCTTGAATTTGCCATACAGAATACACAATGTCATGCGAATCAGTGAAAAAACTTATTTATTAAAGGAGAAATTAGGAAAATTATTTTGGCGAAGTCTTTATGGGTGTATTTTATAAACCGAAACAGGTCGGTTTAGGCCATCGGTTTTCGCCGGTTTTGACCCCCGTTTTTCGGTTTCGGTTTATTAGCCAAAAACACCGGTTTTCGGTTCGGTTAACCGACCGCCAACAACCCTAATTAATATCATAATGATTTTTTAATAAATATTTTCGTAATTAGTTTAGGAAAATGTGGAGTAATTATTGTTTCAACCCTTCTCTAGATGGGGTAATTATTTGAAAGCGGGCAGTTATTTGAGAAAGGGTAATTATTCGAGTATAACGGTTTGTTGAAAAAATAGTTTATGCTCGTACCCATATGTCGCATAAAAAACGCATGTAAGAGTTTATGTACGAGCTTCCAACTAATGAACATAATTTACATTATTTTTCATCCGTTCTAGGATGATACATCTACGAACTTTAACCCGTTAATGAAGGTTAAAGATTATTGTTTATCATCAAATATATATAGTTATGCAGCTGGAGAACCGGAAATCGGACGATTTCCAATTTTTACAAGCTATAAAAGTAAGTTTATATAATTAGATATTTTTTCAGGGTTTTACTTATTCTTTGCAAACTAGTAATTATAAGATAAGCACCGCGTTTTGTCGTTCCGTGTTTTGGAATTCCTTGTTTTGCCGATCACCAATAAAGACCACTAAAGATTAAAAACAATAAGTATGTCTAGCTGAGAAAAAATATACAAACTAGTTCAAATGAGTTAATCAAGCCGAATCGAGAGGTTAATTAAGCCTCCGAAATGTGTGTAAGCCATTATGGAATACAAATTTCTATGTTTCGACTGTGTCAATCGACTCGAGCTGAGGCGATTGACACTAAAATCAGAGCAAACTGGCATGATAGGCTGACATGATAGTGACATAAACGTAAATCTCTAAAAATTCAAAACTATTATTAAAAATTGCACCTATTTTGCAAATTTATATCAATTTTTGTAATTGAACCTAAACTCTCTTTTAAAAGCAAAAGTATTCTTAAAAAATACCGTATTTTCTTTAATAAGAAAACGCATTTCTTAAAGATAAATCTTTTCAAAAAAAAGATTTGCTGTTTTATTAAACTATAGATTTTTAGAGATTTTCTTGTAATTTACAAATATTAGACAATTAGGAATTGTATATCTTAAAATAAATTTAGCAAGTGTTTTACTAAAAAATTTAAAATTATTAAATAAGTATCTTATAACAATATGAGAGTAAATATTTTCATTTATCATATTTAAATAATAGTAGCCGGAAATAAACAATGCAGCAAAGTCGAGTACGTCTTCGCCCATAAGAGCAACACTAATTACGATGTTAATTTGAAGAATATTAATCATATATATTATGAGAAATATGAAACAGCTAAAAAGTATTCCGAAAAACTTATAAAAAAATTTAAATATGATGGGAAAATTTCGCTTCATTTTATTCCAGTAAGTTGCTTAAAATATTGTGGCGGAAATTTACAATGTTTAAATTTTGTTTCTAAAAATTATTCGGCTAATCATTCATCTCGAATCATTAATTTTATATAGTTTTGTAGTCATTTATACGTGTTTATTCAAGGGATTTAGAGATATTAATGTAGATTTAACTGATTAAGGGAAATATTGGTGTATTTGGCAAGATCTGGAGGGATTAATAGGGATTTACAGGGATTAGATAGTCACAGATATACTTCTAACTCGTTGTTATCCCTCTCTATAATTATTTAATCTGGGGATTTGGAGGTGTCAATGTGGATTTGGAGGATTAAGGGGGATATCGGGGATTTACTAAGTTTGCGCGATAAAATTGCGCAACTTGGACTAAGTAACTTGTGGATGGGTTGGCGCATATTAGATATCACACATAAATTGCGGCAGATCAGAGCGAAAGAAACTTAAATAATATACTGTTGTATTATGGGGAATATAGTGTTTTATAGGAAAAATATTGATAAAAGTAATACAAGCTAAATTTTTTAAAACCAAATATTTTATAAAAATCAAGTATGTAAGAAATCATAGTTAGATATCATATCAGACAAAATCTGATATTAGATTCGTGTCAGCATGGTAGATTATGTATAAAGCTATAAAAAATATAACATTAATTATTCGAGATAAATGCCTTATCGAGATGGGAAAAGGATTATGTTACGAGCTATAACCCAGCGAACGTTGACCACGTGCGAAGCACCTGGTTTTGCACAAGCGCCTCGCCTACGCAAATTGGTTCACGTTTACGCTTTTTACCTATGACATCCGTAGATTCTTTGCTACTGCGGAGGAAGCCAGGCATGCCATCCTCATC